TCTAGTTAATTTTTAAGTCTATATATTAGGTCTACGTAATTTTTAAGTCTAGTTAATTTTTATATCTAGTTAATTTTTAAGTTAGTATATTACGTATAGGTAGTTTTTGCGTCTAGATATTACGTTTACCTAATTTTTAGGTTTAGATTTTAGGTACTAGCTTAGCGTATATATACCTATTTTTACGTACATTTAGGTTAATAATTAATAACCTAATATTTCTAGGCTAACTACTATTAATAAGAAGCACTATAACTGTAAGAGGAGAACTAAGTATAGCTATAGTATAGTAAACACTTCTCTAATAGTAGGCTAAGTAAGAAACTAGACTAGAAAAATATAAAGTTCTAGGTAGAGGAAGTAATCTCTCTCTATACTGTAAAATTAAATACTTCTTCTAGTATCTACCTAGTGTTTTACGTAGATAGGCTATAGCTGTACTCTAGAAACCCCCTAGTAGAATAAGATACTAATAATTACTAACCTAAGAGCGTATTAGAAAATATTAATAGAGAACTAGAAAACTACTAGAAAATTAAGGAAATTATAGGTAAAAGATAGAAATACTGTAGTAGAGGACGTAGAAAATAATACCTAGTTAAGTAGAAGAATTATACTATAACTTTATAAGAACCTATAGAAAACCTTAAAGAAGCTAAAGTACTAGATAACTAGTTAGCCTTTTTAGAAGATAAATAAAATAAAATAGGTAAACTACTAGGGGAGTTCTATAAGGGTTCCTCTAATAAACTATAATAATACTAGAGGCTCTAGTAATAGTAGAGAGTAGTAGAGAAGGTAGTAATTTTAGTAATAGTACTACTAGAAACTATAAGTAGTATACTAATAAGTACTCTTACTAGGGCTAAGAATATAGGCAGCTAAGAAAAAATAAAAAGATATAGAGGCTATAAGAAAACAGGATTAATAAGGATAAAATTAACTACCTATATATAGTAAAGAAGAGAGAGAAATAGTAAGAAGCTAACTAGCCTAGAGCTAGTAAATATCTAAGGGTATCTATTCTATAAACGCTAAAGAACCTAAGAAAATACTAGTAGGAACTATTTCTAATTAGTATTTATAGCCTAGAAACTATTCTTCTAGTTATTAATATACCTATTAGGCTTACTATTACTAGTAGCCTTAAGTTCTAGGAAGATAGTATACTTAGAAATAATAAGGACTAAACTCTCTTATCTAGACCTAAAAAGATACTTAGAAGAGCTAATAGTAGAAGCCTAAAGGCTACTACTAAAAGAACTAGAAGCTAGGACACTAATACTATAGCTATAGAGTAGTAGAAGATTAAACTTAGTAGGTAAATAGCTTAGCTCCTAGGATTTAATAACCTTCTTAAGGGCCTAAGTAATAGAGTAGGTCTAATTATTAATAGTAAAAGCCTAAAAAACTCCTAAATTAGCTAGAAAAATAGGTATAAAATAAGGTTTTAGATACTAAAGGGAAGACTTACTAAGTTTATAAGGCCTTAGTTTTACTTCTAAATACTAGTACGTATTAAGCTTAACTTATTAGTAATCTTATAAAGTAAACTCTTAGTAACTAAGTTAGAAGTATAATTATCCTAGTACTTCTTCTAGCTAGAAGTAAGCTCTTAAGCCTTATTCTAGGCCTCTTTTAAATCCTAGATAAAGTCCTTATTAATATTCTTAAGTAACTTAGAGAACTATAGGTCTATTTTAATAAGTAGTAAGAGCTTATAAATATAAATAATAGTAGGCTTAAGTTTATTAGAAATCTATAGAAATATTAGCTATAAATAAAGAGAAGAAAGTAATTCTAGTAGACTTATAGTATAATAAGTAGAATTTACCTTAGTAGAGTAGTAATAGTAAGTAGCTCTACTCTTATTAAACTTATAAATTTTACCCTAGGTAGCTAGATATATTATATAGTTAATATAGTAAAAAGAGTTAAGCTTACTAATAAAGAGAATATTAACTATAGAAGCAGAGTAGTTAGTAGGCTATAGAGTAGGTATCTATTTAGATAATATTAGGAAATAGGTAAGAGAATAGGTAAAACTTAGATAGAAAACTTATACTAGGTTCTTTACTAAATAAGTTAGATATAGATATAAAAGTAGTAGTAGAGAGCTTAGCCTTAGCTTTAGTAAGATTAGCCCTCTAAGTATCTATCTTAGCCTTCTTCCTCTTATACTAGGTAGGTATAAGAGTAGTAGAAGTAGACTACTTACTACTAGAAATAGTACTAGTGTAAGTATTAACTATATTAATAAAAAAGAGTAAGAGAGGTAAGAGTATATATAAGTTAAAGCTAAAAATACGTATATAGATATAGGTAGGGGTGTTAGTAATAGGTTAATATGTTATATTATAGTAGGGTTAAAATATAAGAATTTTTACTAGGGGGGAGCTTATATAATAGGCTAGGCCTAGTAGAACTTTAGTAAGTAAAGCCTTAGAGCTTAGTAGGCCTAACTACTAATACCTATACTACTACCTATACTTTAGAAACTCTTAGTACGCTACTAAAAGAACTATAAGTAGAGAAAAACTAGTACTATAGATCCTTAGTAAATTTATCTAATTTATACTAGTAACTACTCTTAGAGTTAGCCTCTTACACTAAGCTTTTATTAAAGTAACTATTTTAATTATATTAAAGGTAAAGTAGGTTAAGTAGTTATTAAGAGAGTTCTACTAAGATAGTTAGCTAATATTTAATACCTACTAAGTCTATTAGACCTAAATCCTACTAATTAGTACTAATTAGAGCTAATTAATACTTTCTACTTTTCTACTAAAAATATACCTAGAGCTTAGAAACTTCTAAAAATTAGAAGTAGAAAGAAGGTAAAGTATAGAAGACTAGAGAGAAGCTTCTATTATATACTTAAGTAGAGCTCTTAGAGCTTAGGCTACCTTCTAGGTAAGTAAATAGTAAAAGAAGTAAAAATAGGTACCTATTTCTTTTACTCTAAACTAAGATTTTAGTTATAATATACTCTAGAAGTATTTTAATTAGGCTAAATTAGCTTAATCTAGTAATTTACCTAAATAGTTACTTTAATACGCCTATAATATACTTAACGTTACTAAATATAAGTAATAAAAGATATAGTCTACTAGATTAGAATAATTATATCTAAGAAGAGAGATATTATTAGGTAAGTATAGAGTAATAAGTAGTTTATATACTATTATACTAGCCCTAGCCTCTTAGCTTATATATATAGATAAAAGTACCTTATAAAGGAATATAGGTCTCTTAGTAATTTATCTTATTATATATTAAATACTATTATTCTATCTTTACTATACTATATTACTACTATAACTAAGTCTTATAATAGTAATAGAAAAGCTTTTTATAAAGGATATATCTCTTCTTTTAGCTTTAGCTATAATAAGGATAGTACTTAACTTAGTAATTATACTTATTCTACTTTAGCTCTAACTATAATAAGAATAGTACTTAACTTAGTAGTTATAATTACTCTACTAGTAATAAACTCTAAAGGTAATAGATTAAAAGAAGAGTTTAAATAGTATTAGAAAAGCTTCTTATAAAGGGTGTATCTCTTTTCTATTAAATAGAAGTATATTTATTTATGTAGTAAGTTAAATAACTTATTATTAAAATACTAATAGTAATAAATATAGGCTTTAACTAGATCTCTAGTATCTTTTAACTACCTAGTAAAGTATTCTAGGATATTAATAGTAGTATTAAAAGTTACTACCTAATTAAGCTTAAGATAGTAGTAGTACTTAGAGTCTTACCTAATAATAAAGACCCTACGCAGTATAAAGATACCTCTACTAATATACTTACTAGGCTGTAATAGTTAAGAAATATACTATTTATAGTATAATTTAATATATAATAGTTATAAATATCTTTATATACTTATTATAAAATAAGGTATAAATTTACTTACCTATTTAATAATAAACTATAGTTGTTTTATACTAAGTTTATATAAATTTACCTTACGTTTTATACTATATTATAGTATAAAATGTAGTCTTTCTTCTGTGTTTTTTACCTAACAAAGCTGCGGGGTAAATTACCTGATTTTGTACCTTAGTGCAAGGAACTTTTACATTAGTGAGTTCTTTGCAGAATTTCCCCCAGATCGATTGCCAACATATATGTCTTAGACTGCAAGACCACAGTCGCCCTCATTGGGTAGCAAAGCTTCGGTGGGAACCGCGGGAGTGGCACGAACGACATGGCAGGAAGCGCCACACCACTGCTGCGATTCACGAGTCCACGACTCATCAAGAAAGAGTTCTCTCTACAGACCGAGTACTTGTATCCCAGTAATAAGTAGGCATCTGCAGCGCGAAGGAGTAAACGTGCCTATCAATGCACAGGACTGAATAGCTTTTCACACCTTCTCATCACTGTTGGTGCATGGTCTGAGGCGTCGAGACATCACGTCTCTTCCAAAGACTCTTCAGTTAATCATACTGTTCTGAGTACTTTTGTATTTCTGATGTCAACTATATCAAGTTGAAATCCAAAACTCTCGAATAACGGCGCCGAAATCTGACACGCACGTCTCGCCAGTCTCCTTTACCCAGCATGCATGCTGTAGCAAATCTCCCGGCGATTTGTCTGACCATGGATAGCGACAATAGCAGCAGGCTATCGTCTGCCTATACCCTTCCAGACCCCACCGTTGTCGAGTGCACCCAAACCCCCTTTCTGTACCATCTTGGAAAATACCTTGTTCTTCGACAAGTCCTTCGTATTGACCCTGAACGCTCTCTCAAATATCGGCGCTAGGTCATGCGCCGCACAAATACGCCAGTCGCCCGTTTCTTTGATGCGTCCTTGCAATCGCTTCTCGAGCGTGGTTTGGAAGAAGGCCCCAAGCACATCTTCCAAAGTCCTCTGACTTGAATCGATAATGGTATTGCAAAGCCGTTGCCTTTCGTTGTCGTCGAAATACGGATTTCCGATGAACAACTCGTTGGTGACCAGTTCGAGACGTTCGCGAGAGTTGGTGTTTGTTCGGAAGTTGCGCAGGTCGAACATGAACACGTGCAGTTTGTACCAAAGCTTGTTGTCTTGGCGTAGCTCTTCGATTGTAATGGTTTTGTTTTTGTGGCCCTGACCCACTGGTAGAGTTGCATCCATCTGATTTTGAGATAGGGATATGGTGCTAGAGAATATGGCTGTGCAATGATCGTATTCACGGATAAACCTGTTGAGTTGAGCGGTGCAATGCTGATATATACATTCGTATGTGCATGTCGAGTTTGGTTCATCCTCTTAGTGCGCATATTCGCTCAGAACAGACCTTCCGGGTACCGTGCTTCTTAACAGGGAAACGAAGTGCAAGCTCAGTCATTGGCTAAGACTAAATTGGTTTCGAGCACAGCCACAGTACCGCGAACCTGAGGCTTCAGCCCGCACTTTCTCCAGCCAAAGGAACGAGTCATATTCTGAATACCAGTACCTATTCTAGAGTGTTAGTTGCATTGTAGCATAATCCCATACTGGATCTGTTGTTTGTCTGTTCCACCTTACCTAGAGAATGACTGTCCTAGCTTTCGATAAGCGCGCGAGGCGAGTGGGGGCTGCAGCGATCAACAGGGATGTGGTAGCCTGAAAAGCGGACCGAGGAGGTGGACATCTCGCGAATCTCTCACGCCGACAACCTAACAACAATGAAGTCTTCCATTCACGGACCGCGGGACTACTTCGAAGTGATGTAGCCACACCTCAAGCACGAAGACAGGATAAACCTAGCATAAAGTTCACAAACCTGGTCTCTTATTATCGAGCCAGTCTACTACGAAATCTTGCACGAAGCTATATTTGGAGGAAAACGTCAGGAGCCGCGATAAATATCCTTTGACAGCATGGCCTATCGCTCGAGATTATGGATCAGCCTAGGAAAACACTCTTCCATGTCGTCGCATACATCCAAATCCTTAAAAGGTTTATAAGTATGTCTCTCACACTTAGGCGACGCAAACGCAGTAATTGAGTCAAAAATCTCTCACAGGAAATCGCTTTTCCACTGCTGCGCAGCTGGAGGACAAGAAGACATTGTCAAACTTCCACTAACCTGTGGCCTTGACGTCAATTGGACCAGTCGCAATGGATGAATGCCACCGTTGTGTGCTCTATCGCCGACTAGTGTTCAGATAGAACCTGTCATGTATCCTTCAGCCAGGTACCAGTACCTAAATTGTTATGAAGAAAGGATGAAACCCTGTACTCGCTTTCGCAACCTGGCCATTCGCCTTCTAAATGGCCGAGAATCAAGATGTGTGTAGGTCTGAAGTATTTCTGAGCTAATCTGTAGTTCCATCGATGTAAAAGTAGATTACGACCAGGCAGTACGAGCTACCCGTCTATGCGGTGATAGTATCTCGATTTAGGCTATCGCCATTCGACGTGGCTGCATCTCTCTTGTCCCGTAAGTCAGCCCAAGCATGCGTTCATTTAGATTTCTGAGAATCTGCCGATGTACACACTGCAAGCTCTGAGCGCTGTTCACAAGGTACTTGAGGACCGTTGTCATAGCCGATAACGCCAAGCCTTTGACTGTGGACTATTATGTATTCGGCATCTCCTAATCGAAGCTGTCGTGCATTTCCTTGCGTCTTTCAGTTCACTCCCCATTCTGCAGACTTTGTATCGTCGTCGTATAACCTTATTACACCATTCTTTTCGGCTGCTAACTCCCAGGGTTCATCGCCCCATACGCCCAAGCTTCTACCGTTTAACGTGATTAACGAAGACTGAACGTCAGAACGAGCGGTAAGCCTGGGGGCATCGCCTATACCATCGTACATTTCCTGAGGTGTTACCAAAACGACTGTCTTGTCTTGAAGTGTTTGTTCATCGAGTATTACGAATTCCGTGTCGATGAGCCCCTTGCCGCGATCCAATTGGGAGGCGAATTCGACCAGGTCGTCCAAATTCCAGCCAAGGAATGGATACTCGATGTCTTCCTTTACAGGTGCATGAGTTGGTTTCGTTAGCTTGGTGATGTCAAGTGTGTCCACCAGTATGGCTGTGGAGGACTTTAGGATTCTGACAATCATCGTAAAGTTGCGAAGTAACCATCTTACCTATGTGAGTGCATCCTACGTACTTGAGTTCTTTCGCCTCGAAAGCCTCAGTGAAGTACTCGTTCAGAAGCTGATCGTTGTTAGCAACAGTATGACAAGCGTGAGACCGGGCTTTATCGGGCGGACCTCGGCTGGTATGAAAGCGGTGCAAAATACGGGGAGGGTTAAGTCGAGTTCATCATTATTGCGCCCGTTATTGTTCGACTCTTGTTGGGTGTCTGTATCATTCGACATTGAAAATGATACTCTACCTGAAATGGGTGAGAGGCTAGAGTTGAAAATAATGCATTCATTCCCAACAAAACATTCCTATTCATATATGATGCAAGCATGTTTACGTCATAATGATACGAGAAATCATCGCGTCACACGTGAAGAGAGCGCACGACCACAACAAATCGCCATGTAGCATTCAGTACGCCACTTGATGATCCCCATTTAGGATTTCTACGAAATCTTTGTAAATATCGGTCTGCACTACATAACCTCCCTCAAGGTTGGCTACGTTCACTATATAAAGAGAAAACCATCACTACCATTTGTTCATTATTGCACACTGCATTCGTTGTAGCTCAGATGTGTAGCTGCCTCGATGATAAAGGAAATCAATATTCGGGACTCAAATCTGTACCTCAAACTGGATTTATCAAAATCAAGTAAATTACTATAGGATATACGATTGGAGGTACAGCAACAGCACTAATGATTGTTGGAACGTATATACTTCGATGTTACAGCTGCTCAATATCTATATGATCTTATCGCCTCTGAACCTGAACATGTAATACGAAGAATCTCGATCTACGATAGAGTTGACAAAGCTCCTAGAACTACAGTTGGACATCTTTCATCGTACTTGTCAGGTCTAGCAAACGTTGCCTTGGGTTCGTTTCCTACAGCGATTTCGATCCAACTTTTCGTCTTGGAGTCAAACTGGGGCCAACCAAATCTGGTGAGACCGCTCTTGGGATCATCTGAAAACGCGGCAACTGCTCGCTGGAAGAGTTTCGTTGTGTCGTTCTGTGCCTGTGATGCAGGGAGGCCGCTGGCGTCCTGCGACCCCCCAAGAATCATGTGCAGTTCAGTGCCATGGTAGGCACCACTGGTTGGGTAAAGGCGAGTGTTTTTCCAGTCGCCGAAATAACGGTAAACCCACGTCGGAACCTTGGCTTTGATACGTTGCCTGGCCTCGTAGGAATGGGGGCAGACAAATGACTCCAACAGAAATTGCGCCGTCTGCTCCTCAGTGACATTGCGCCCCTGTGCGAATGCCGGGATCACGTAATACCCTTGTTCGTGATTGTTGTGCCCATGAAAATAGGGAAGTTTGGCAAAACTGCCCGATGATGCGAGTGAGAGATAATCATCAAAGATAACCTGGCCGTCAACTATCGGGTAGAAAGGCGGCGTTGATCGGACTGGGCTTCCCCCAGCACTGGGAGGGATCTTGGACACGGCCATCGAGATCGCCTGCCAGGATTGTTTTCGCATGCATTCGAGTGTATCACCCGATCCTCCACATCCGAGCAAAGCGGATAGCATAAACCAATTGTCTTTCTGCTTCTGAGGCGTGTTTAAGGGGAAGCTGAAGGCATTGCCAGAAGTCGACATCAGGCCGTGGACAATGGGATTTTTCTTGTAAGCATACGACCACCAATCCACACTGGCGCCACCTGAAGATTGGCCCGCAATAACTATCTTATTTGGGCTACCTCCAAACGCTGCGATGTTCTTTTCCAGCCATTCTACAGCGAGACGCTGATCCCGCAATCCAAGATTAGTATCAGCACCAAGAGCGCCAGGGAACCCAAAGACATTTAACCGATAGTTAACTGAAACAACAACAATGTCTTCGGAGTTTGCGAGATATTGCCCATTGGCGAATGGGGTATCCGTATTGCCGCCAGCGAAACCTGAAGCAATCAGTACGGCGAAGCAGCAGAGGTGAGCCGAGTATAACTAACGTCCTCCGTGGAAGAGAACGAAGACAGGTTTATCTTTTTGCGAAGATCTGGGCGTCTGTTTTGACCATATGTTCAGGGTTAGACAATCCTCACTTCGTTGTGTTCCAGCGGCACCGGTGAAGAAACTCAGCAAGCCAAGGGCTTGAGAGGTAAAGCCGGGAAACGAAGGTTGGACCGCGGCTTGTTGAGGGCAATCACTGTAAATGGTCAGGTCGTAGACAGTATTGTCTGCGCCTCAATTACTTACTATCCCTAAACCTAGACATTAGTTCAATCATGCAAGAATCAAATCAATCCAATGTCTGCACTTACAAAATTGGTTGCGTTGTACGGTCCTTTCGCTCTATATCTCTGCGGTGATGCAAATCTCAAATTGCCCAGCGGCGGTTGTGCATACGGAATTCCCAAATATTCCCAGACAGCGTTGACGTTTGGCGAACGATGGCCTGTGATGAGTCCATTTTCCGTTCTGACAACCTCGAAACTTGGGTTTGGTACTGCAAGTGACAAATCAGAAGCAAAAAGCCAAAGTGAAAAAGTAACCAGACTACGCATCTTGTAATAATCTTCAAATAGAAAAGCAATGAGCACTGAAGGAAGGTCGAACATCAGTGATCGCACCAAGGTCGTGCTGGGCTTGTTTAAAGATTGCGGCGCAGTTACGCTATAGTCATGTGGTAGAAGTGGGGCACCAGGCAATCTTAATTCAAATTGCTGCCGGAGGAGACTGTATTCGGGTAGATGCCGAGGTTCGCCTGGTTGTGAGAAGGGGGCACGAGATAACCAAACTTCTGTGTATCCCAAAGAATTCAAGCTGAAGTACGCTCACAACTGCAATGAATAACAAGCTCTGTTTTTATATCGAATTTTGAAGTTTTAGTCAACTTGTGTTAATCTGGTAACACGTCATCTTACCTATTGTAAGTTTGAGTGTGGCGCACAGGGTACGACTAATCCTAGTAATCCCAAATCCTTGACAATTTTCTATCGCTCCTCACTGATGGAAGATATGTCTGACCTTTCAAACAAATTGAGAAGAAGTATAATTGAGAGTACTCTTGTTTGTATGTGTCACGTACAGGAAGCTGACACGAGTCTCTTCCCTCCGCGTGTTCCTCCATTTTTGCTGAACCATAACATTTGTGATTAAAGCTGATCCTACAGTACGCAACCCTGATCTATGCATGCGATGAATTGTGTTCGCAATCTCCGAACTGAATCCAGTAAGACGGAACGACCAATCGCGCCCACACGGTTTTCTTCCTCCATCAATCATCGCTATGGTAGAGAGGCGTAGTTGCAGGCAACAGGTTAATAAAAAGCCCCATAGATGATCTCATTATCTCTTTCTTTTCATCACCATAAACGCTCGTCGACGTGAAAGCTTTGACGAGAGTGGTCTCCGTTTGGTGAGACTAAACAAAACTCTGCTTCCAAGATGGTAATCAACATGGGGTTTCCTTCGGATGGTGAAGCCAACCAAGGATGGAAGTTGTACTTGACATCACTTATCATGGTTCTGAGCGCTGGAATCATCGTCGCTGTCAGAGTCGTGACACGGTTTCGGGCCGTCATGCTAGGCGCTGACGACTATACCATAGTGGCGTCTCTTGTAAGTCCAAAATCCCTTGATTATAAAATTAGTAAAAAAAATGCTTTCTGATCCTTTGATTAACAAACCCCTAGGTTCTCTCCATTGTTCTATCCGTCACTATTCAACTGGCTGTGGTTAACGGCTACGGTCAGCACAAACGCGACCTCTCAAAAGAAGAATTGCGGACTTGCCTTTGGTTCTTTTGGATTGCGCAAACGCCGTACAAGATCGTGGTTTGCCTTAACAAAACGTCCATCATCTTTCTTTATATGCGTATCTTTATATCGCGGCACTTCCGATGGCTCTGTTATAGCACACTGGCGATTGTACTTGGTTCAGGTGTAGCGACAATATTTGCAACCATCTTCCAGTGTGTACCAATCGAGCGGTCATGGAATAAGACTATTGAAGGGTCATGTATCGATAGCTCGAAGTTCTGGTTAGCAAACGCGATACTGAACATTTCGACGGACGTTATCGTTTTGGCACTGCCGATCCGCGAAATCTTCAAATTGCAGCTCAAGTTGCAAGAGAAGATCATGCTGTGTAGTGTGTTCTTGCTTGGTGGATTGTAAGTCTCCCCTAAACTCTTCTATAACTGGATCTAGCCTTCGTGTGAGATCCTGGTCTGGAACTCCATTGACCTCCTTTCATCCCTGAAATGTCGGGTTTCGTATTGCTCGAACCTACTGTACCAATTCCAACACTTCCTAACCGATACAAAGTGTCACGATAACATCAACCCTCCGAGTTACCGCCGTCGCCAATAGCGTTCACAATCAACAAGACCAAACCTGGAACTTTATCCCGCGGGGTATCTGGACATTGGTCGAGGCGAACCTTGGCATCATCTGCGCATCCTTGACTGTGCTAAGGCAAGTGGCAAAGCGTACACTTGCGTCCATGTCCCGATGGTCTAAGTCGGACAAATATAATCACGGGTGTCGAGGCAGTGGCGCTACAAGCCATGCGAATGGAAGTACAGGGCGAAATGCTACGAACATCATAACTCTCCAGCATTTTGAACTTGATGAAACAGTTCAAGATGACGATACAAGCATCAATGTGTATATGCATAGGGTCAAGGGAGGCAGTGGACACGTTTGGACAAGAAGCAAATTATGTCAGATAACGTCTCTATCGTGTATAGATTCATGTGAAGATAGGCGCGGAAGCGAGGAAAGATACATCATGCAAGTCGATTGCACGGACGGACATCGTAGCTAGATCAGTGCAGAGAGCCTGCAATATCTATGGGTCATAATCGTATTGATTGTCTCGGTGCCCCTAGGTGACGCGGGACATAGAAGAGAGAGGTTGGGAAGCGATAATAACGGAGTGTCAATCGAGTGATGCGTGTTCGAGGCAGAGCTCCTGGTGGTATGGTTAGTAGAACTCTTTCTCTCAACTCCCTTACCCACACTATTGCGATGATGTTAAACGATAGCGACTTCCAGAACTGATTGAGCGCTAACATTTACAATGAGAAGTATAGCGGCTGAATCGATTTAAAACGGCTAATCAATCATGGAGATCGAGAATGCAAATACTAACTAGCCAACGTCGACTAGAACCCGCCTGCCCGTATAGCCATGACCGTCAAGCTCTCGGTCTCTCTAGCCAGACATAAAGCCTGTGTTGATCTCCGCGGCTTTAATAGTCTAGCATGCATGTGACGAGTGCGGATGGAGTGCCTAGAGCATACACTCTAGCTGAGTTTATTAACACGGTCTTATCTGGCAACCTGGGTAAGTTTAGTGACGCCGCGACAGGTGCAAATTGTATGTGTGGCGTTGGTCAGGCAATTCGGCCTTTTTGTGGACGGGATACGGTTACGGGTCCAAAGAACTCGAATTATACGCGAATGCGACGATCGAGATATATCACAATCATCGAACGAATAGAGACGTCAGGGATCGGATACTATTAAATCAAAGTTGTTGTTGCTATTGGGTCAGGTACAGATGAACTTGTGATAAATCATTGTAAGCATTAATGGTTCTTTCAAATCAGTATCCACACTACTACTAATCATAGTCGTGCTGATCAATCAGCTTACAAACCATGCTTTCGTAGGCAAAAGGGGACGAAGACAACAACTAAACCCCAATCTAGCCAAGTTAGCAAGTGGCATCAACTAAGATATAAGAACAGCCTTGCCTCTTTCTTGCTCTATTCAACCAACTTCAGGTATATTGACTTCTACAAGGATGTCGACCTTGACATCAAAGTCAGATAGGGGCGTGGTTCGAAATACTATCGCAACCGTCACTACTTCCTCAGGGGAACAACTTCGCATAAGTTATACAGATCGTCACTGCGCTCCTGAGGCATGCTTTAGAGGCGTAATCGTTCTCGTCCACGGCTTTCCCCAAACATCCTATCAATTCCGACATGTTATCCAGCCACTTTCAGATGCTGGATACCGTGTCATAGCACCTGACTACCGCGGCGCCGGACAATCATCCAAACCCACCAACGGATACGAAAAGTCTCAAATGGCAGAGGATATTTTCATGCTTATCCGCTATCACATCGGAATCAAACGCAAGATACACATCGTGGGCCACGACATTGGAGGCATGATCGCTTTTGCCTACGCGTCGAGATACCCGGAGCATGTTGCCAGCCTCATCTGGGGTGAATGCCCTCTACCCGGATCCACCTTCTATGAGCAAGTCAAGAGTATGCCGGACGCTTTCCACTTCGTGTTCCACCGTATACTCGATCTTCCTGAGGCTCTCATCGCAGGGCGGGAGGCAATTTATCTAAAACACTTCTTCGATAAGCAATCCTATAATGGCGGAGCTATTACTCAATTGGACCTGGACTTTTACACCAACGCTTACTCTCAGCCCGGTGCCATGCGGGCGGGAATGAATGTCTACCGTGCGTTCGAGAAAGATGCGGAAGAGAACATCAAGTTGATTGAGGAACGTGGCAAGACTAAAGTCCCAACACTCGGTATGGCCGCCAACAACTTCATTTTGAAGGATCACACCGTAGACATGATGGAGGAGATGCATAATGGGGCAGAGATCACCATTGTAGAGAACAGCGGTCATTACATCGCAGAGGAAAACCCGGATGGATTTGTGGACATGGTCCTGGGGTTCGTAAGCAAGCATGAATCGGCATGAGTGCGATGGGGTATTAGTTCAGGTCCGACATTAGCATACAACCATGATTGTAGTACGAGTCTGAAAAAGCACTGCCTGCCGGCAATATTGGTCTTATCTGACACGATAGAAGACCTCTTAGCAAATGATCATGTGGACACGATATCGGACCAAATGTGATGCTGCAACTACATCTTAAGTCCCAACTTGGAATGGCAAGCTGCATCAAACGAACCCGATATTGGGTATTAGATGCGAGCCGGCAGACTGTCCGAAGCACGGGATTTCAATGCGGAGGTCACGGGGGACGCGATCGCCCGCATTCGCGAACGTCAGTGGAAAGCGGGGTCAGTGCCAACCCAAGGGATGATCAAGCAAGATAAGGCAATATAACTGCTGTTTGATGTGTGAGATACTGCTGTAAGCCAACTTGTTTACCTTCGATTACGAAGTTTCCCAGACCTCTTCATTTTCATTCTATGATCATGTTACACACTCAATATGGCCGAACAATGTTCCGATGCATGGCGAGGAGTAGAGCAGTTAGGCCTACCACTGGATGCAACATTCGGTTCAGTTCAACAATGATGTCTCGTGGGAAAAGCGTACCGACAAGCAATCTCCCGGAAGCACCGTCAACACCAGTTGCATCGGAAAAACAGTTTCCACAGTATCCATTGTCGGCTATGCCCATCGGTATGCTGATGAGGTCTCTATTCGTCTCTACAATATCCTCGCACAAATTTCTCCTCATTCCATCACTCTACATTCTTTCTTTCCTTGCCAAGCCGGAAAGAGGCTATTTACTCAACATCGACCGCAATCCGGTGCTGAGGGAAATCATCAAGACATCGTTCTACAATCAGTTCTGTGCAGGCACAACAGAAGCAGAAACGAAAACATGCGTTCGGCAATTGAAGGATCTTGGATTTCGGGGTGTCATCCTTACCTACGCACAAGAGCTGGTCTTCGACCACAGCACTCAAGGTTCACATAGTCCAGGAAATGCCGCAGACGCAGCACATAGTGAGGGTGCAGGTATCAGAATCGATAATGTTATCGAGTCATGGCGCACAGGCACTCTGAAAACTGTCGATTTAATCTCGGAAGGCGATATCTTGGCCATCAAGTAAGTTCTTGTCTCCGCCTGACGTGAAGACCATACAACCAGACGGCGTTTATTCTAACTCATCCGTAGGACTTCTGGAGCAGGCCCTTCGATTGTTGATGCTTTCAGAAGAGGAGAGCTGCCATCTCAGCAAATGATCAATGCCTTGGACGATATCGTAGCCAAGTGCAAGGAACGACACATCCAAATCATCGTCGACGCCGAATCTCAGGACTTCCAAAAGGGTATTGCCCGTGTTGCACTTGAACTTATGCGCAAGTTCAATCGTGATGGGAGAGTCGTCCTCTACAACACGTACCAAGTGTATCTCAAAGCTACACCGGAAGTCGTGGCTAGACATCTTGCTGAGGCGGAGAAAGATGGTTTCACACTCGGCTTGAAGCTCGTGAGAGGAGCGTACATCGCATCAGAAGACAGGTCTTTGATCCACGATACAAAGCAAGATACGGATGATGCATACAACAGCATTGCACAAGGAGCTTTGCGTCAGCACATTGGGAGATTTGGTGGGGATGGAGCTGACGCTCGCCCATTTCCGTCAGTGAACCTCTTCCTTGCAAGTCACAACAGGGACAGCGTAATATCAGCACAGAGATTGCATCGACAAAGGACAGAGGCAGGTCTACCCACTGTTCCAGTCGCATTCGGGCAGCTGCATGGTATGTCTGATGAAGTCAGCTTCTCGTTACTACAGGAGAAGGGCAGTGATGGTAACCCTCCGGATGTCTTCAAGTGCTCGACATGGGGAAGCATAGGAGAATGCGTAGGTTACTTGATGAGGCGGGCGATAGAGAACAGAGACGCCGTATTGAGGACAAACGATGAATTCATTTCGTTGAAGAAAGAAGCGGCCAGGCGTTTGAGGTCAGTATTTAGGGCATGACGTCTTGAGTAAGGTCGGCGTGTATAACCAATGCATGGCGGATGGTTGTTGGTGGTGTATTGCGCACGGGCCACAAGCACTACTCGGATTCTCGCACTGCTGTACTTGCTTGCTAGAAGAATAAGTGTCAGGGTTTTGTACTTCGATTCGTATCATTACCTACGTTTGAACTTGAGCTAGCATTAGCTCTCCAGTCGTATGCGTGAGTTGCCTGTATGCGTTCATTGGGCGTCATTTCCTGCTGTTTGACAGCCATTACTGCTAATTTAGGTAGCCTTGATAGATCTGGGTTTTCGAAATGAGAGTGATGGTAGGGGCTGGAAGAAGGAGAAGTTATCTTGGGAACTCTAGTTCTGTTTCTTCCTGACCTGTTGAAAGGATGGAGTTGACGATCCTTACAAAACAGAGTTGAAAGAATGAGATGGAATTGTCACTTCGGAGAGGAGGTTTGGGTTGAGGATGACGTACGTCCGTGCACGCGTCTGCTCTGTCGCGCCTTTTGCCTAGTACCTACATGCCTTCTTTCGTCTCTTCACGAGCATTCATTGACTTATCCCGAAACTCGCAGCATCGCCTTGCGCAATACAGATCACTGTGTGACTATCTCCTATGTGGCTTGCTTGATGAGGCGCAGCATGGGGATGACGCTAGCGCGAATGACTCATTTTTGCTCACTGTTTGTGCCTGTGGCCCTAAGCTCGATTCAGACAAAGACTCATTTTCCGCGAATGAGCCCAGATAGTGGAAATATACATACGTATATATATCGAGAGTTCACGAGATGCAGTATAAGTATTAATTCCAGCTTACCTGTCTTATCCAATTATACGTCTCGTCTTTCCTAGTTCATTGCATTCTCAGATACCCATTTCCCTTTTCAATTCTTCCACTTCACCAGCAATCATTGCGACAATCACTATGGCGGCAATTGAAGAAGCTTCACGCCCGATCGCCATCACTTCGCAGGAGACGGCACTATGCATCATTCCTCCAATAGAAAAATGCAGCGATATCGACCGGCTACGAGAACTATACGACAGAGCCCACGGCAAATGGCCGCCGCATGTCAATCTAATTTATCCTTTCGTGGCGCCAAAATTGCTTCCGCAGGCACAGCAACGAATTCAAGCTCATCTCAAAGAGCATTTAAAGAACGCTGAGAATCTGGGAGTCAATTTAGACCAAGCCGGATTCTTCAAGCAGCGAGGCAACAGTACAATATTTCTCCACGACAGTCAGGGCTCAAGGGAAGGACCTTTGGCAACGCTCCGCTCGTTGTCTCTACGAGCGCTCAACCAGCGGGACTCCCCAGCAAACTTCCATCTCACAATCGGACAATCAGAGGGTAGTAGCGAGTCTTCGCGAGCATTCTTGTTGGCGAAAGCGCAATTGCTTCCAGCTCTAGAACTCGACGTCGGTACTCTGGCGATTCTTGTTCGGCAAAAGTCTGGTGGTGCGAGTTCGTCGACGCAGGGGATGAGCTTGTGGGGCACAATCGACATCCCTGGTACACAGCAGACATGGAGACCTCAAGATACGGACTATTGGCTAAGTCAGCCGAACGTCGCTGTGACTGGGATCAACCTTGATAACACAGATAGTAAGGGCGACAAGACTGTGTCGCAAGCCATGGATCACGGAGTACAACCTGGCAGAACTCGCCATTTCGATGCTACTTCTAATCGGTGGTCACTAGCGACGGAAACCGTTATCTCCCCGGACAGGCCAAGCAATATGACTGTCTCCAGCTACAATGTACTAATCGATTCGGAGTACCCACCTGCGAGAGACCGAGATGTACTTCTCACGACCACAATTCTCTCCAATACAGCCAAAGCGGATATTCTAGTCTTGCAAGAAGTATCTGATGATTTCCTGTCATATCTACTGGGACATGATGAAGTGAGGCATGAATATCCATTCGCGTCGCATGGCCCGCCTAATCAGTCGGATGTCGGACCGCTTCCCAGCCTGAGGAATATTGTCATTCTGAGCAAGTGGTTGTTCAACTGGAGTTTCTTATCGTTCCAACGCAAACACAAAGGCGCTGTAGTAGCAACCTTTGAGTCCGTCCCTGGATCAGATAAGATGCCGCTGGTCGTAGCTGGTGTCCATTTGACGTGCGGGCTAACTGACGGTACTGTCGCAGCGAGGAAATCACAGCTGCAGATTCTGTTCAATCGCCTCTCTAAGCATCATAACGACAGTGCCTGGGTGGTTGCCGGCGACTTCAACATCCCCACGTCTTCACATACTCTCGACACGGCCATCAAGGACGAGAGCGTTTCAAGCCAGACTATAGCGACACTCTCTAGTTTTGAAATGATGATCAGCGATGCGGGTCTAGTCGACACATGGTCTGTTGCTCGCATCGAAGAGACAGATGAACTGAGCGCGCATAAAGAGGAGGACCTTTCCGAAGGCGAAGAAGGCGCTACATTCGATCCGCGCAACAATGACCTCGCCGCTGCTACCTGCGGTACACCGCTCGCCCGGCCTCAACGATACGATAGAATCCTCGTTCGTTCTCAGGGTACGCTGCGCGTTGGCGGATTCAACCACTTTGGTGTACCGCAGAATGTTGATGGCACGCAGATAGTCGCCAGTGATCACTATGGGGTGAAGGCTACACTGCGACTCATCGATCCGAAGGCCGAAGTAGCTGACCAGAGTGACGAGCTCAGCAGTTTTCTTATAGAACACAAACGTGCAGTCGAGAGCATGGCAGATTCCAGGGATATCATCTCTGCACTAGAAACGCACGCCATGTTTCCAAGCGACGACGAAGCACATCAGCGGCATTGTGCTTTGTTACTTTTGAAGCAGACTATACTCGAAACCACCGACGACCACGTCTCAGCTGTGTCTGCCATCCCGATGGTCATTGTTCCAGTGGGCTCCTACGCTCTGGGCGCGTGGACGTCAACTTCAGACATCGACTGTCTGTGCATTGGAAGCATTAGCTCGAAGACGTTTTTCAAGCTTGCTCGTCAGCGATTACACAAAGCGGAGAGTGCAGGCATACGGATTTTGAGGAAGGTGGAGGCGGCTACTGGAACGATGCTGGAGCTGTCTGTGAACGGTGTTGCTATGGACTTGCAGTATTGTCCTGCTGCGCTTATCGTTGAGAGGTCAGTTGTAACAATCTGTACGAGGAGTGTGGATGCTAACGTGTTATACAGGTGGTCTGAATTCCGCAACATACCGCCATCCGACCCGATATTCAACCTTTCCATCCTCTCCTTACGGAAACTCAAACCCTACCGAGACCTCCTCTACATCCAGCGAACACTACCCTCTCTCTCCGCGTTCCGTCTCGCATATCGCTGCATCAAACTCTGGGCCACACAGCGAGGTATCTACTCAGCCAAATTCGGGTATCTCGGCGGCGTACACATCACGCTCATGCTGTCGTGGGTGTGCAAGCGACTTGGGCATATTTCAGGCTCTGTCACGGCTGCAGACCTCGTCGCCAGTTTCTTCCACCACTACGCGCGGTTTGATTGGGCGAATGAAATGGTGTTTGACGCCTTTTTCCACAAGCAAAAGCCGCGCTATCATCGCTCGCAGAGGGAGCCTGTGGTTGTGCTGGGCTTCCACGCGCCGAACTCGAATGTGGCTCAGACAGCTACACTGCCGAGTTTACAGATCTTGGTTAAGGAACTTCAGGTTGCTGATCAGCGGTTGGATGAACCCGGCATGACGTGGGCGACGTTCTTTGGGGAGCCGAGTAGCTCGGCGGGTAAGATGGGTTACGCAGCGGTTGAGTTCCTGCAGGCACATGATAGCTATGTCAAGGTTGACATCCAATTCTGGGGCCGCACACTGGCTAAAGGTAAAGGGCTTGTTGGGTGGGTTGAATCGCGAAGTATTTCACTCGTCGTTGGTAAGTCAAGTCTTCACATAATCGTGCTTTGTCCTTGTACTAATCTTGCGCAGACATCCACAAATCGCTTCCAGACCTGCAAGTCCGCATGTGGCCTGCGCGCTTCACCGATAACGAGCAGCACGAGTCCGACGGGAGCACCGACTACCACGGCTGCTACCTGATCGGCCTCATGCGGAATCCTGATGCCGCACCACTCAACAAAGAAGAGCGACAGCAGTCCAAACAAACCCTCGACAAGACTCTCGATCGCTTCGTCACCCAGCTGAAAACAGACGAGAAGAACTACGACGCAGATACATGCTACATCAGCGCCTCGCTCGCGCGCCCCAGCGCAGTCCAAGCCATACACCTCGACGCCCGCGAATGGGGCTCCTACGCCGCCGACACGGACCCAGACTCTGACTCCGACGACGATATAGACGACGTAGACGACGAAGCACCCACCGAGCCCAAGCCACGCTCCCGTACCAAACCCACATCTACATCCACACCCGTGTCGAATTCCAAACTCCGCCCAGCAGCCGACGTGCTGAATCGACTCAGGTGGGACCCGCATCTTGACGCTGGCGAGTACGTGATTGGGTATGAGGATCGGTTCTTGGGCGCTATGGAGATCGGGCTCGAGAGGTGGAAGACAGAGCAGACGGATGAGGAGTTTATCCCGCTGCATCGCGTGCTGTATTTCAAGAAGAAGGGCGGAGAGGAGGGGAAGGGGGAGGTTGTTTGGGAGAGGGCGACGAGGGTGGATCGCGTGTTTGGGAGTGGGGTTGGGGATGGAAGGGGTGAGGATGAGGTGTAGGTATGGACTGCAGGCATGGACTGTAACGGTGAATTTTAACGACTTGTCAAACTGCGCTGTTGTATTACGAGGACTAGCTGTTCTTTAATGGGTATTTTCACTTCGATTTCTCTCGCCTGGCAATTCGTGTTTTCCTCAAGAGTGAGGAGCATGTTCAAGTCGCGTCTCTTGATCTGACGTCATGTCTGATATTAACTAAAGAACTAGACAAGTCGGCAAATGAAGGAGTGGTAAATCAAAAAGCACGTAATGTAAAGGCAAAAACAAAAAAACATAGCAATTGCACGCGTACAATTGGAAGGGAAGGTGAAGGCGTTCCTATTTCGAGCCCGCGCCGCATTCACGCTAGCAAGGGTACATACACACAGAGGGTCCCCAACCTCCCCACTCCTCTCTCACCTCACTCACTTCTGCCCCTCGCGCAACCCCCCTCGCCTACTCCATCACACACACGACACAATGCCGCCCAAGAACCAAGCAAACACGCCTCGCGGACGCGGACGCCCCAAGAAACTCGCGTCCCCGCCCGCAGCTCCGGCCGTCGACGCGTCGGCAACGCCCAAGAAACGCGGTCGCCCATCAAAAGTCGACGCGCTGGAAGTCGCAGCTGAGTCGCCTCGCAAACGCGGTCGTCCTGCCAAAGTCACAGCTGAGGAAAGCGCGCCTGTGGTTGAAAATACGCCCAAACGCGGTCGTCCCGCCAAAGCCACCGCAGCAGCACCTGCCGTCGACGAAGTTCCTGCTACCAACGATGCAGCGCCCAAGAAGCGCGGACGTCCAGGAAAGGCGCAGACGCAAGCAGCAGCGGAACAAGTGCCCGTCACGCCTAAGAAGCGCGGTCGTCCGGCCAAGAATGCTGCAACCCTTGATCTAAACCGCGTCGCTGGCTCCCCGCGCGTCTCGAAGCGCACGTCGCCGCGCTCCAAGCCCGTGGCCAAACAGGCGAAGACCGCTGCCCCGCCGCCGCGCATAAACCCGCGCCTGCGCTCCAAGCTGCGCACGCGTGTTCCTGCTGCTCAGAAGGTGGAGGCAGCGCCGCAGCCAGCAAAGAAGCGCGGCCGTCCGGCGAAAGTTGCGGAGCCTAAGAAGGCGGTTGCGAATACGACTGCGCGCAAGGCATTGGCAGTAAAGGCGAAGGCTGCGCCTGCCCCACGCAAGCGCCGCGGGTACACGGCCCTGGAAGTCCCGGATAAGTTCTCCAAGCAGGTCAAGCTGTTCATTCAGGGGTTATACGACGCTGAGATTCCCGATGCTGCTGCTTCTGAGGAGGAAGGCGAGGCTGAGGTTGACGCGCCGGTCGAGGAAGATGGGAATGCCATGGCTTCCAGCGAGCAGGAGGAAGAACTAGGCAGCCCCTCTCTCACCGCGGAGCAAGATCAAGAGCAAAACGAAACTTCCGACGTCGACGGCGATGATGATGAAGACATCCAGGAGGAAATCATCCCCGCCGAACTTCTGCAGCCAGATGACACCGAAGACGATGTTTCAGAGGAGGAGCTTGGGGGCGATGTGCTCTCTGCTCCGGAAGCGTCTTCTCCCGCGGTAGACGAGCAAGTCTTTGTCCAGGACGTCGTGGTCGAGGAAGTCGTTGTAAACAAGGGTGTGCCTTCTAGCGCTGCATCACTCGCTTTCGACGGGGATCTTGCAGGTGCACTGACGGGAGATGCTAGACCGTCTGGGATGTCGATTTTCGCCTAGAGTTTGGGATTCGGTTTCAAGGTACAAGGAGGTGGGATTATCTACTTCTTCGAGCAGGACGACTGGCGTTGAGAAAGTCCAGGATGGATCGATTAGTCTCTGCGCTTTTCTTACAGCGTAGCTTTCGCGTCTATGATCTCGTCTTCTTTTCTGGATGCGGATAGATCTACCGTCGCGCGACGTGGTGGCATGTCGCGCTATTTCAAGGCGTTTTTTGGGGCTTTGCTCGGGTGCCTTGAGCAATGGGAGGGGTTAGTGCATACATATTCGAATTCAAATCTACATTTTTTTCTATCCATTGCTATGGTTTGGGCGTGTTGGTGTGTTTGCAGATTCAACCCCGACTCTTCGACACCGCACAAACTCACACGCTGGTGCATGGAGGGCAGGAAAAAGCTGAGCTGAGGAAGGACTCACTTGGTATGCAGACATGCCGCACGAGCCAATTATATCCTTTGTATATAAGTCTGACGATGTCGGCGGACTGTCTGTCCTCTATCACATCGGCATGGCTATATCTCGTATCCAGTACGACTTCCTCAGGCAGAGTCATGAACACACGCTTCTATCAACATATACTCATCTACCATCCACCAAGCCAACAGAAACACCCTAGAAAATTCTACGATCTATAGGATATCAAAACCAAAAGCCATCAAACCCCACCCCAACATTACAACAAAAGTTATCGATGAACAGATCCAAAACAAGAAAAGAAAAGAACTCGCCAAGCCAGCCCTTGCACATTACTCCGCCTTCTTACTCGCCTTGGTCCTAAGCTTCATAAGCAAAAACACCATCGCATAACTCGACAACGCAAAGATAACACAAATCGCCGCATCCCGCCACCCATAGTAATACTCCTTCAGATTCAGCGTGTACAAGTAATCGCTGCCAACGCGGTACTGGCACACTCTACAATCAGTCGTCGCGTCCGGGTTCTATTACTAACATTAGCCATTTTCATCACTAAGAAGGGGGCATGGAACTTACGATTAAATTATTCCTCGCCCCCGGCCCACTCAGCCACGCATCGAGGTACTGCGCACATGTCTGACCCGCGGGGGGCGAAAAGCGCGCGAGTTCCGCGTCGGTGCAGTGTACGGGCCAATCGTAGTCTGCGAAGACGAGCAGGCTGCCCATGAGGTAAGTGAAGGGATTTAGCCAGTAGAGCCAGTAGCGCCAGAAGGCTGTTATCTGCAGAATCACTGTTAGTGGGGTTGTTCTTTATCAGTGTTGAGGTAGTGGTACGTACCTGATCATATGGTACCAGAACGCCGCAGAACGACGCCATGGTGCCGATGAGTATTGGGTTTATCAGCGAGGCGAATACGGCGTTTGGCGCGTATGCGGCGACGAACTGCCCGATGCCGGTGTATATGAATTGGTAGACGAGCATGACGAAGAAGGATGCGCCTGCTTTGTCTGACGCGCTGGGGAAGCTTTGTGTGTAGTAGGAGCACAGGAAGTACAGCACTGCTCCGAGGATAAGGTAGGGGATCTCCGAGACGATTAGACCTGTGGTGAAGGCGTACCAGGAGTACATCTTTGACTTCTTCTCGCGCGTCTCGTAGATGTCGCGGCGGTCGATGAAAAGGGGTTGCAGCTGGGCCATTACACCGGGCGCGACGAAGATGTAGTTGAAGATAGCGAAGAGGACGAGCTGCTGGTCTGCGACGGAGGTGCCGAGCTGCCAGAAGGAGAAGCCGACAAACAGGCCTATGCCGGTGTGGAGGGCGAGTTTGTTGTTGACGTAGTCTGTGTTGCGGAAGAGGCTGACGTTCATGCGCTGCGTTACGAGTCTGATTTGGGTGCCAATAGGGGTGGCGAATTCGTGGCCGTCGTCCTTTGTGCCTGGTTCCTTGCCGGCGGCGTCGGAGATGAGGTGGTCGAGGTCTTGAGTCATTTGTGCGGCTTCGGGGGAGTCGAGCCAGACTTGGTGCCAGTCTTTGCCTTGGGTTGCGGTGACGACGTCGATCATGTGTTCTGCGGGGTTTGCACCTGGTGGGCATTGTTCACCGTTGCGGCCGAAGTATTCTTTGATGGTGGAGGCTTGGTCGCCTATGTCGCCGAAGTAGACGGTCTTTCCTCCACGCGCGAGTAGCAGTAGTGTGTCGAATTGGGCAAAGAGCTGGGCAGACGGTTGGTGGATAGTTACGAGTACGGCCTGGCCAACGTCGGCGAGTTTCCGGAGGAAACGGACAGTGTTGAAAGCTGCCTGGCCATCGAGACCAGATGTTGGCTCGTCGAGAAAGATGAGGATGGATGGTTTTGATACCAGCTCAACACCAATCGTGACACGCTTGCGTTGCTCGACGCTGAGGCCGGCACCCACCCTGCCAATAAGAGTATGCTCCAGATCGTGCAGCTCCAGAAGATCAATGATTGTGTTGACATAAGCAAGCTTCTCTTCACGGGGCGTATCGCGACTTTGGCGGAGTAAGGCTGAAAACTCGAGCGCTTCCCGAACGGTGGCGAAAGGCTCATGTACATCGAGTTGCTCACAGTACCCGGCAGATCGTTGGAATGACACAGGAAGTGGGCGACCATCGACAAGAATTTCGCCATGAATGGTACCGTCGGTTTTTCGTTGCGCCAGGACATCAAGCAGTGTTGTTTTGCCGGCTCCAGAGGATCCCATGAGTGCGCCGAGCATGCCTGGCTTCACATAGCCGCTGACTTTGTCGAGCAGGGTGCGATCTCCCGAAGGCGTCTTAACAACATACGATAGGTTCCTCCAAGTGAAGACGGACGTGTTGCGCACGAGGTTAGCCCCAGTGTTCTCCTCGGGTGTGTTAGTAGCATCACTTTCATCAGCTGCGAAGCCTCGCTGAGTCTTCTCGGTAGTTTGTGCCTCCTCATCCTCTGCAAGCAGCGGGACCTTCTTGTAGTTCTCGCGAGGAATCAGGAGCGCTCCAGTGGAGCCAGCGGCATCGTCCCAGCGCTGCGTGTTGTATATAGTAAGCCCCACAAAGAGGAACCACCACGCGAAAAGGATACCGACGTTGCGCCAGATGTTGGAAGGTGAGTAAGACAGGCTAGCAAGGTAAGCTTCGCCAGTCACCGAGGTGGCGCCTGGAGTAGCACCTCCTACTCCGGAGCAAGCTTGGTTTGCAAGGTTCTGGTACTGGGGTAGGTAGTTCGGTATCAGGTTGGCGTTGGCACATGGAATGACCGTGTCTTTAAACTCGTTTGCCATCAGTGACTCAAACCCGTATGCCATGGGGTTGATCCAGAAAATCCAGACGAACCAGGGGTGCATTGATGGCTTCGGAATTTGGTACCCAATGTATAGAATGGAGGCGGTAATAGCAAAGCCAGATACTTTGGAAGCAGAGTCGAATGTGGAAAATGCCGCTCCGATCATACGAAAAAAGGCTGTCATCACAAATGTCGTGAGGTATACCACGAACCAGGCAGTAAAAAACGCCGCCGCCGTTGCTTTGAGAGCAGTCATCCAGTAAAGAACCACCATGAATGCAGAAACTTGAAACACTAGAGCAAGTGTTAGAATCACAAATAGTGCTGACTTCAAAGTGACTTACATAATATGGGAATATCTGCCGCGACCTGTGCAATGCAGAAGGCAGCAGGGTTGAAGAAGGCAAAGTTCTTCTGCTTAGCCAAGATCGGACGTCCGGCAAAAGAATCGGTGACCTCGGACATGGCCATGAGAGAATTGAACAAAAGAGCCAAGAATAGCGCGCCTCCCTTCACGAAGAGGCCAGAGGAGTTGTCTGGCGCATTGTAGAAAAGAGACCCAGATATGATGGCCTGAGCCAATGCCGAGGACTGTTTGATGATGAACGTCGCCTTGTCTCCCCAGATGATCTGATATTGACGAATGACACAGGCTTTTACTTGATCCACGAACGAGACAGTCATGGGCGAAGACTTCTGGAGATGATTGGACTTGTCTAGGCTAACCGCTTCGGTGAAATTTTCAGTATTTGTCTTAGCTTCATCTGACGTGGGGTAGTCCAGTTCGCGATCCATGGTAGATTTTATGGACGACTGGCGATAGGCCTGCTCGAGCTCAATGTTGGTGCGCGGGAAGCGCGACTCGAAGTCGGGATTGATTTGTCGCTCGCTGGGAACTGTGACGCCTGTAAGGTAGTCGGCCACGTTGGCTGATTGGGGTTAGCTTCTTGATGAAGAGTACAAATGCAGTCAATACTAACCTCCTTCACCACATACAAAACCTTGCGCCTCCATGAATGGACGCGCCTCCTTTCGAGAGCCATAGAAGATCTGCTTGCCTTCATCAAGTACCAGGACTTTGTCGAAGAGATCATAAATTCCATTACCGGCCTGATAGAGCGTGACGACGGTGGCGATACCCATGGCATCTGTCAAAGATCGTAGAGCTCGTGTATACTCAAGAGCGGTGGATGCATCCAGTCCTCGAGTCGAGTTGTCCCAGCACACGACACTCGCTCGTGTGCACAGCGTTTCTATGATTGAGACTCGCTTTCGCTCTCCACCAGAGACACCACGGACGAACGCGTCACCGACCTTCGTGTCCTCAGTGTGAGATATACCCATGGAGTCCATCAAGAACGACTTGAACTTCTTTCGGTAACTCTCGCGGCTTTCTACATCCTTTGGTAGTTTGTTCGGAACGTTGAGTCGCGTAGCGAAGTCCATCGTCTTCCCAACTGTGAGGGTGGGGTAAAACAGTTCCTCCTCTATTCAGGTGAGAACCAAATCAAGAGTCAATACAAACAAAGCCACGTACCTGTATTCATCACGATGTAACCTCGATGCTGCAGTGCTTCCTTAGCGCCAAGGGTGCCAAAATGAACGTCTCCATCGATTTGAGCAAATCTGATAGAAGCAAGATGTTAGCAAATGACCGGCTAAAATCTGTCAAAGCCAAGGCTTACCCTTTCCGCTTGTTGGCCAGCATCTTCAGTAGTGTAGTGCAGCCAGAGCCTTATTGATGTCAGTAAATACTACATATTCCCTCACTATTGAATCGTGCCGCACTCACCAGGTCGACCAAGTACAAGTAACATCTCTCCAGGCTTCACGCATCCAGAGCTGGAATCCAGAATTGTCTTCAACGGTTTCTTAGCACGAGACTCTTTCATCTGTTGCGGGATATTGAACTGGCTCAAAACGTTCTCTTGCAACACCGAATCTGACGGAACCACTTGAACTGTGAGGTCCTTCCATGTCACTCCAAGGCTTCTGCTCTCCGCCGTGTCGTTAAGTTGCATCTCCTTTACAGATTCGTCAAGTCTCCAGGGTTCGACCTTCGTCCTGACGCTGTCGCTATCGCTAGGGTACTCATCTCTCCACTGCTCCTCTTCTTGCTTCCGCCGCGATTCAGCGGAGAATGTGCGAGAAAGAGCGCGGAAGAGGACATCTCCAGTACCAGCAGTCATGATGACTAACGATGAAAGTGTTATCTCGCTCTATAGTGGTACGTCTGGACAACTTTGGGGAAAACCAGCGTTGGCTTGGAACGCCGCTGAGCGACGAGGAATGTTCGACGGAAGCAAAGGAAAGGACAAAAATCTGTATTAAGAAAACAACAAACGATAAAAAGTACGCGGCGCTATCTACTTAACTAAAGGGATTCTGCGCGGCTCGTACGGAGACCATTTGCTAGTGCGATCGCTAGAGATCAAGCCTCTCGCTAGCATACTCCACTTGAATTCGTACAACACGTTGTGAATTCGGCCGACGGAGCTGGAGCACGTTATCGGAGTTAACTGGAGAGCGAGTACCTGAGACAGCAACCCAACGATCGACATGGAGTCAGCGCGGCTTCTGCTTGCGGCAATTCATCATCGTTTGGGCTTTGATTTGACGTAGATCTAAGAATGTCCACGCTAGAGGACATGACTGAAGCCTCTGACGGTTGTGCCACAACAAGGGCGAAAAGCCTCAGCCGCTTGCCATTAGCATCTGTACATATGGAGCTCCAGACTTTCTGTTACTATGCCCGATACGGTTATCAAAATCTCCAAAAGCGCCGCGCGCGTAGATTGCGGCAATGAGAAGTGTCGTCACCGTGCAGTGAGATATCGGTATTCGGGGTGTAGGATTTCCGCCTTCCAGGCTTGGCGCTTCTGGAATGTGTCCCAGATTCGTGGATAGACATGCTGGATCGGGAAGTGGGGGTTTGTACTTGGTCGCTGGCTCAGTCGCACTGCTCGAAAAAGTTCCTCTGGCAATGTCGTATATCGACAACCAGAAGATGTTGTTCACGATGCATTGCGACATGTTAGAAGGTGTTCCATGAGCGGAAGCTTGCAACGCACCTCTCCTACGCTAACTACTTGCGCTGATAGCTGATGACTGTGTCCAGGTATGTAGCATGCCAACGGTCGTGGTCGGGGAGAGGATGCTCTGTCGCGTTGTGTTCGCATTTAGTATACTGGCATATGCCGTTGACTACCAGTGTCAGAAACGGGGATCTACCAGGTCTATGTCCGATTTGAGAATAGATCCGCGCCGCATGAAGCCTGCGATGACAAAAGCTCAACGGCGGCTCCACCTGCGTAAAGGAGGACGTGGTTTGAAATCAAGCGGGAGATGGGATCTGAGAAGTCCGCCTTCCGGCGCTAGTCAAGATATTCTGTACAACACAAATTGCAACATTGTGCACTTGATACATCAATCAACAATACGAATGAACACTGTTTATTATTATTTTTGTTATGTCCAAGCTAGGTCTTTGTCTTTTTGTTTCATGCTCATCGCTCTTGAGATCTTGCATGCTGTTGGGCAATCACTGTTTCCAGAAAAATATCGCGAAGATCGTTGTTTTGTTACCCACATTATCGTACTTACGCGTTGTAATACCCAGAAAACATTCTTTAGCTGTTTTTCAAACTCCAACTCGATTCAAAGATCAGCCTACTAACTAACCTTTAAGCATCGCTTTTATTCTTCTTACATACAAGCTACTTCCCCCCATTTAGGTTTTCCAGAGAGGCGTCGAACAGGCCAAGCTGGTCTAGCCCTTACTATTGTTCGACCTCAACTCCACAGTACAAGATGAGCTTCCAGCATCAACCTTTCGTACAGGAACGGCCCTTTAGATGAACACCATATCACACAGTTCATTCATCGGGCAACAATTGTATTCCCCCTCGATTTTATACCTAGAAGCCTGGCAGGGTCCTCATATTTCGATTTGTAAGCGTAAGGACTATGATCAAGGATTTTTGTAAGGGAAACGATTGTGCAATTAGTGCGCAGGTGTTGTTAGAGAGTGTGGTGAGATTTGCCCGGATGAGGGATGAGAGGAGGGTTACGTGAAAACAGGAATCTTATACATTCTAGAGAGATGCACACATGTTTGTTGTATTCGTAGAGAAGGTAGCGAAACTGTGATGCTGATTTATTGAACAGAATGAGAGGCTGAGGAAGAGAATGAAGCAGTGTCGTCCTCATCCACCTCGACCTTTCGGCAGATCACGCATCAACGTCTTCCTCAAACGACCTGATCAGCTGCACCACCGAGAAGATGTCCTCAGGGCACATATCACGTTTTTTATCTTGTGCCAGAGCATAGGCCACTCGAACGACGTTTTTGATCTGCCGACCATTCATGTTGTACTCGACGGCTTTGTCAAGAAACTGGTCATCGACCCAAGCCGGAAGCTGTTGAGCCATGCCTTGCTTAATGAACACACACCACAGCTGACGTTTCGATTCTGTTGAAAGGTTCGGATAAGCGATCTTCAAATGGATTTGGGATTTGAAAGCTGGATCAATCGTTTCGGCTCGGTTAGTGGTGAGGAAGAGTATGCCCTCAAAGTACTCAAGAACGCGCAAAAGTACTGTCGCCTGTAAGTATGACCATGATGAGTGACTCTGAGGTGACTGACCGGATACCAGTTCATTCCTCTCTAGATCATTGAGGCTTCTTTCAGCCATGAACACATCTGCTTCGTCAATGAGCGCTACCGCATTCCATTTTACAGCCAGAGATAGCGCAGCAGTGAGTCGCATCTCCGCGTCTTTAACACCCAGGTCACTGCAGTTCAAAGTGTACAACGGCCGCTGCGAAAGGTCTGCAATGCTCTCTAAAAATAGGGTCAGCGTGTCTATAGATTTTGCGTAGAGGGATAAAGTAGGCACTCTACCAGCTGTGAAAGTCTTTCCTACACCAGCAGGGCCGTGAAGCAAGAAGATGACTCCCTTGCCTTTGCCCTTGATCAGGTCATCGTATGTGTCGGAGCTCGCTTTGGCACTTCTGACAAGAGCTGCAACCATGCTCTTCTTTTCTTCTGATAGCGCCAACATATCAAACGCAGAAGTGTTGAAGTCGATCTCTCGCACGTGGTCGACATCTAGGTAACCCCATTTCTTGGTTACAAGAGAAAAGCCCGCAACCGTGTCAGTACAGATGAGCAACTGCTCCTCGTTCAGCGTGGGTTTCTCATCAGGTTCGATTTCTATGGTTGAGCCCAGAACGAACCCTTTTTGCCAAGGGCGAAAGTTGTTGTCATACTCTTGAGTATCGATCATGACTCTTTGCCGCACCTGCCATGGTCAGTCACCCGGTTTGCTAAGGACGGTCGCAGTTACCTGTGTCACGTCACATCCTTTGCAACCGGCTGTTCCGCGCCACCTCCCCTCATACATTCGATAGTGGACACCGTGCAGCGATTCGTACTTTTTGCCTCTCGATATCAATCTTTCTTTGACGGCATCGAGTTCCTCGACATGTTCGAGTGGATAGATGAACAGGTCTTTGAGAGGCTTGAAGCCTTCGTAATGATCAATTTTGACGCATTCCTCGGTTCGGCCAAAGACCCTTCCGTTGCTCTCCAGCTGTTCCAAGTTCATGTGCCAAAATTCACGTTCCTTGTCATCCTTCTCTTCATCCATACTGACAAACTTGTAGATGCGCTCCGAATCCTGACCTTTGCGGTACACAAGTGCACCAGGTCTGAATGCCATCCAAAGTTCCTTGTAAGTGATACCGGGCTGAGCGACCTGGCCTTGCATCATGCCATCGAAGATCGAGATCTCCTTTCGGAGGGACTTCTTCATATACTTGAGACAGAACGCCACATGTTCTTTCATTGACGGTTCATCCGAGGCCTTTGCGTATTGCTCTAGCTCGTTCCGATAGTGGAATAGGCATTTTGGCTTATCGAACAAGATGGTGCTGCTGCAGGTATCAATATCGATTTCGGGGTAACTAACAATGACCTCTCTCAGGGCTTTGCAAATGAGCGGAGAGTTAATTCTCAGCGTGGTATAGTACATCATGCCGTGTTTGGTGATGTATCGAGTGAAGACAAGAGCTGCTTCCGGACTTTTCTCTCCGTCTTCATCGATTGTAAACTTGGAGCCGGTACGTAGAACCACGTGCTCGCCTTTCGAGTTTGGACGGCTGTCGTAGTTGTGTAACTCACAAAGTTGGCCTCGGTTGCTGTCCACGTTCTCATCCAAGCCTACTCCTACATATGCGAAAGAATCCTGCTCTTCTTTGGACTCTTCTTGCTTGTCGGTTATATCTTCGATAGTCTTGTTTGCAGTTTTTGTAACTTCTGTTTTAACATGTTGATCACCATCATCAACACTGTGGCCTTCCACGTTCATTTCTCCGTTCGATAATTCCTCGCTGGCTGTTGACGTAGTCTCATCGCTATAATGCTCACGTCCAGCTTTCAGCCTCGCGTTGATGTTTGGCCGAGATTTCTTGGTACTCTTCCCCTTGGCCGTAGAGTTGAACGAGACTTTAGCTTTGTACTGGGGCAGTAGCCTTGCTGTGGTTGTGAACCTGCCTCTGCCCATGTTAACAGGGTGGAAGTGGCAATGTTCGAAACTACAAAAGATTGATTGATCGGTTGAGGAAAATGAATATGTTGATCAGGCTGAATTGAAGGCACGGCGCTGGACTTTTATAAGCTGAGCCACTGGACGCTACGACACACAAGAACCCGCGTTTCCTTCCATGCCTCACTATTTCTCAGCCTGGCGTGGTTGGACTATTACGGAACCATCGCGCCTAGCCGACCACGGTGCGACCACTAACGCGGCCTACTGCTACACCACTATTTCTTACTAGCGTTACATTGGCTGGCAATCGCGCCGATAGCATGGTATGGTTGTTCCTTTATATCTTCCTGCAGCCACTTTTGCAGCATGGGGGCGTGCATATCGTCCTGAGGCGATCCTTGTCCAGATTGCGGCTCGGTGATCTGGAGCAACCAGGTACGCTGGATGCTGTGATAGGCGGGGGTAGCCTGATCACGAGAATCATTAGACATTGAAGTGGCTTGGCTCTGGAGAGATGTGAGCTCTTGTCCAGCCTTGGTTGTACCTGATGAACTTACATGATCTGCAGCGTGTCTCTGCGGTCTCTTCTCGATGGGGTACGCTGTCTTTTGTCGAGAAGCCATGCTTGCCGTAAAGTCTTGTTGCTTTCGAAGGTACTTCAATCGACACCAGGAAGTGTATACGATGAACTTGACAACTTTAGCTTGTGGATAAAGTGGAGGGAAGCTACTCGACCGTTGTGTGGTTCTAGATATGCGACGGTTGCTATCATGTTATGTATTGTTATTTGAGCATGGGTTGAGAGCATTTGCACTTTCTCTAATTGTGGCACTCTCCAAAGGTACCTGACATTTGTTACGCATCCAACCTGAATGCTTCCAACATGGTCCTTGTGCATGATGAAGAAACGCCATGTCAAGAATTTGCATATCTCAAAAGTACTGTACTTTGGGGAGTCTGTATCAACAATGACACTAACGGGCCTATTTACGTGTCAGATGCTGTTCAATACCACCTGAGAAGGCGAGTGGTTCGCTCATCAGCTCTGGGACTTCAGGGGATCTGTTCGTAGTCTCAAAGGCTGCCAATGGGATGCACCAGGACGATGGAAACGGGACACGAACCCGAAACGGGTAGAAATTGGCAACAAAGCCCCACACTGGGCGGTCTCGGGCAACCACACAGGTACCTTACAGACCAATAGTACTTTTTGTTGTTCCAGAAAAGAAGTCCGAAAGATTTGGTGGTAGGGTGACGTATGGGTTCGCTAGGCATAAGGACCCTGTGCACGGTCGCCAACCCCACAACGTACTTTCTATCTATTCTTTTTAACTACCTCCACAACACAAAGTACATGCGCCGCAGGTGAAGCCTCACCATCAGCCACCAAGCTATGCAAGAACATCACATGCCGAACAGCGCAACCGGTGAAAGCACTCACACCGCATCAGCCTGTTGCACACAACCTTCATCTGCACCCACCAGGGCATCGTAATGATGCCTGTCGCGTTCATCATCCGATGTTTGCTGGTGCATAGCTCATCAGGCAAGACCACTGACGCCTTGTTAAGAATGACGACCTAGTACTTCTCGGTTCTTTAAGGTCCCTTTATTCTGACGAATGATGATTGCGTCTGCAGGATAGGTCCGTGATAGGCTCGACATCACGGCATATCAGCTTGGCTGTTGTTTCAGCCTCGTTGAATTGAGTAGTTAAATTCAGCCGAGCCTCGCTGTTTCTTTGATTATCTGGACATTTTTTGCTCTTGCTGTACTCGTCCCATATCCTTAGATGGATAATCAGAATAACTTCTTTGCTCCTAGCGAGCAATATGCTTGGACCAACCCGACTTCGTTTGAGCAGAGCTATCAACATGGAAACCTCGCATTCCCCGTTCCAAGTTCTGGGCCACCACCAGCAGCAAACGGCTTTACTATGCCTGCGCCAGTAGTTGCTTCACATTACGTGTTCGGAACTGGGGCACCTCAAGCGGCAAGGCCTGGTGCACCTCGAACGCGTCAGAACCCGATCCCTTGGGATTTGCACCAAGACGAACTGAAGAAGCTGTATCTCGTGGACAAGATGAAGCTGGAGGACATTAGAGATAAGATGAGACGCGAGAAGTCCCTTGAAGCAACGTACGTATCGAGGTTGACGAAGCCATATACACATTGACGATGTTGTAGACCAAAGCAGTACAAAGACCGTTAGCAAGGGCCCGACAAGAAAGACACTATATTTACCTTCGGTGGTACGAAGTGGAACAGCGAGCGTGCTGAGGTGACTGTCAAAAGGGCCGGCAAAGACTCCTCAGAGATTATAAGTATGAATTTAGCGGTAAATACTCCGTCAACCACATTATAACTTGACACAGACATGACCACTCCTATGGGTGTAGTCTACGAGACACCTGCCCAGATTGATCTTACCTCGCCGGAAACCGCGCTTACGCCATACGAGGGCAACACCAATGTGGACGAGGTCATGACAATCTCATCCGGCTCGGACTCGGACGCATGGGAGTCTGATGTTGAGATCAACGACACGTCCTTGTCATTGACGTGGAATGGCAATACACGGTCGGATGTTCACAATATGTTCCTGAGTGCGAGACAACACATTCGCAGCGGCAATACCGAGCAAGCAGAGACTCTGCTCAAACTTGCGGTGCAGGGATACGGGCATCTTCATGGACCGACTCACGAAGAGACTAACATAGTCGTTGTTACACTTGCAACGCTTTGTTTTGAGTCGGATCGATTGACTGATGCTTACAAAGTCATCGAGCAAAGCTGTCGCGTCCATATCGAGAAGGCAGGAATTCATGATCGTCGCACTCAACAACACATAAACGACATCATCCAGCTCCTGCACAGCTGGAACAAAGAAGACGACGCCTTAGCCTTCATCGCCCGCGCCAAGGAGATTGCGGATAAAAGCCGCGATGGTTTTGCAAAGAGGGACAAGTCACGGCGTGAAAAATCACGCAGTGTTACAAACCACTCTCAGAGACCACGGGAAACGCTACTCCACGAAGCCAGTCGCGCCATAACCGAAGATTCCGATTCGACTCAGCTAGACTACGGTCTTAGTCTTGTTAGGACACATGCACACACCGAAGGTGAGACAACGCAGCAATTGCTTCGTCTAACTATTGAGCGTTGCGGCTTAGATACCAACAAACTTGCTATTCAACGCCTAAAAGCCTGGGCGGAGCTGCTGAAGCTATGTAACAAGGCAGGACGAGCCCACGAGCGATCGACAGATTTTGAGAATGCGCATAGTGCGTTCATCGATGTCATGCAACAGTTTTCATGGGACGAAACAACAAGAGAGAAGTTCAAACGATTTCGTCTCATGGAAACTGCTCTTGAGCTTGTAGCTACGTTTCTCTCTGCAGATCGCACAATGCAGGCAAGAGACATGTTCCAAACCTGCGAAGAGACAGCGTCGAGGGTTTTCGGTGAATACGACGAGCGTACGGTCTGGGTCCTAATCTCTATCGGCCTGGTTTATCAACGATACAAGGGTTGGAACGAGGCATCTCCTTGGTTTCAGCACGCGCTGTCTACGGCGATGGAGCTGTATGACGAGAATGATGGTATCCGAATATCTCTGGAGGAAGCGTTGGAGGTGCGCCACTTTTCATACGTCAATGATGAGGGTCGGCCCTTCAAGACCATTTTCGGCGTCAATGGTCTCAAGATCACTCCAACACGCTTGCATATGGGATAGGTGGAGGTGACAGTCGGTGATTCGGGACATGTGCTGTCTGCTTCGCATCACATTTGGAGTGCGCTGTGTGTGACAGTATCAGAATGCATTTACAGCCTTGCACTGCTGCTCCCGCTGTCTTGCGCTATGATTTCTTGACTGGCTTTTGATTTGGCTGAGCAACTAATTGTATCCTTTTGGACGAAAGCATTGAATGGTGGCACGGTAAATCGAGTCTTACATATCAATGGGAGTCGCTTGCATACTTTCAGGTAGCAGAACTGCACTACCTTTGGGCTGCAAGTGACTCCGTAAAAGCTGCAGATATAGGTTCGCTCAAGGAGCGAGCTTTGGTAAACGCTTTTGGTAAGAACGATTGTCTAAATGAAAGATGTGCGTAGATAGAGCTAACGTTTCGCCTCAGCCAGCAATGTTACATTGCTGCCTGTTGTCCGCGGACCTTTGGACCAGCAAACCACCCGATTTCTCGGAAGATACAATACGAGAAAGCGGGGTTAGCAGATGTATACGCCGCACAGCAACTTCCACTAGCTTACACAGGTGTCACATCTTTTAACCGTGGTCACGGCACGGTCATTGGTTCCTTAGCTTTCAATTTTACAAACGTGATGAGGGAATACAGAATGAACGACGCCGAATGTGAAGACCGTTGCATGAAGATCATCAATGTCAGTTGTTTTTCTTTCTTCGTATCCTTTTGTAAAAGGCGATGTTTAAAACAGCTTGAGTGACTAAAAAATCTAAACCGTCAACATAAGGCCTCGAAAAGTTAATCCTTTGAATGTTGAGATGCGTATCGGCGGCGAGGTAAGCGTAGGCCTTCCGCTTGCTACTTGCGCAATACATATCACTGCGTTAGTGGCTTAGTACTATAAACTTTGTTCGCGAAAGCTTCTTGAAACCAAACCAAACAGCGGGTAGAACCTTAAAGTCAAAGTCAGAGCTTTTACTTGCCGCTGTAGCGCGACTTAGAAACGCGGGAGCTCCAACGTCAACTTGAAGAAATGCGTACTCATCCCAAAACCACACCGAGATACCAGGTTTTTGCATTGCCAGAGGTCCAGTGCGTTGTTATCTTTCCCTCTGTTACATTCATACATCCTGTGAGTCTTGCTGAGTTGAGGTTAATCGTGTACTTGATTCTCCTTGGGCTTGACTACCACGGTCCATATTTCCCGGTTTCTCTGTCGCGCGTCTGAGAAGGGCCGACGAAGCATCGAGTAGATGACTATCAAGACAAATTACGTTACCCACCTTTTGCTGTCTCCTTGATTGGCTGAAACTCGCATTCATAAGCTACAGTTAGCCGCTGCCGTCTTCTCCGCGCCGTGGATACGGTATTCTCGCGTCTAGCCTTCAGGCTCGGACCTAGTTCTTAGCCAATAGAACAGTGTCATGCAATAGATCCCAGAGTTGAAAGTTTGTGAGGTGGAGCTGTGCGCTGATCGGCTTATGCGCTATCGCACATTTTGCCACCGGGCAGTGCAATAACGTGACTTCACTGTCCTATAATAGACTGCTAGCAAGTAAACATCTTACAGCAATCTCAGTCTAACTTCTTACTCGAACCTTGTACAGCATCAAGCATCATCTTGATCATTCAGACATGTCTCAACAAGTGCAGCCAAACTCAAAAGATACTTCGAACACGCCCATGCCTGACGCCGAGCAGCCAACCCCAAAAGATCCTTCGAACACGCCTATACCTTTTGAGCAGCTACCTCCGCCTCGCATCACAAGAGAATGCAACTTTATGTGTTACAAGGATAACGAAGGGGTTGAACACCGTATTCACATCCCGCAGGGGCAATTCAAGCAGGCCTGCCAGCACTTCATCGACGAGGATTGGGCAGCTCTTGGCCGATTCCCTCCAAGCAGTAGGTTATATTGAAAACTTTGTTGTCTGGGCTAATGCAGTGCACAACAGTTGATTCTTCGGCTCAGTCTCCACCAGCTTCATAGGCCTCATAGAAGACCGACAACAAACGCTTAGGACGCAGGCTAAAGGGGGGGTTGGCTAAGACTCTTGTAATTTCTCGAAATATAAGAATCACCTGGATCTTCTGGATCCTGAAATCACTTCTTTACTATCATCAAGTCAATAAGCTCCTCCTTACTAGCTTTGAGTCAACGAACCCTATAGTGCCAATTTTATCTCAAAATGCCCTCCACTACCACTGTCGCTGGTGCTATCGCATGCGTTATTACAGTATGTAATGCTGTCACCATCAGGTTCTGGAACCGAGATGGTTGTACCGGAAAGAATGTGGGATGTGAAAACTGGAGATACGGCGACTGTTGCACTGGTGGTAGCCCTTGGTGTTTGAGCGCTAACTGTGAGGGCTGTCTTGTCGGAAATGACATTTACTCCTTCAACACGGCCGGTTGCAGTAGGGCGCCCTTCGGGGTCTGCAGAGCGGCACGTGGTAATGGTTGTTGCCTCGGGACTGGCGGTGGAAACAACTGTGCCATGTCCGTCTATGTAGGCAACAGTCGAAAGAGAGATAGCAATCAGGGAGCATGCGAGTTTCTTGTACGCCCAAATCACATGGAATACACCGACCACAACGGAACGGCACATTCTATCTATATCCCAACTGGCATCTTTGATATCGCGTCTCAGCACGCTGCCAATGAGGATTGGGACGCACTGAACAGATATCCTGCTTGGGGTAAGATGACAACAGACTCACTTTCTGACTGAGAAATGCTAACAAAGTGTGAAAGCCAACCAGTCGTACACTGACGCCGATCGCATTCCCAACCCCGACTACGTTCCCAGCCCCAAGCTGTGATTGCACACACCGTACCGCGATCACATAATCGACGCACCCTTGGTATTATGGGCTTAGGATCATTGAATATATACTGTAGAACCGTGTCTCTTTAAAAAATAGCTAGCAGGAATACTTAGTGGCAAGGTCATAGTTTACGAATTCAATCGCTGTGTTCTTGCATACATGCTACCATTCTTCTTAATTTAGCATTGTGAGACAGCTTGAATTCTGCTACACTAACTAATCGCCACCCGATATTACACTCCTCAACTACGCGTTAGCTGAGCTGGAGATACCTTTCACCGCGCTCAATTTACATATATACAGAACTGATCTGATAAGTGATCACATGAATTTAATATTCCTAGCCTGTTTTCTGCAACACTAATATTTAGAGACAGTTTAAAAAGTCAGTAGGTTTCTAAGCCGCCTCTGCGTTAACACCGCTGCTGCTAGACAGCCGACTCAAGCGAAACTGTCAAGACGTTTAAGGAAGCGAAGGGTGCAAGAATAACAAGACCTACTAGTAAGCTAGACACTGTAGCAGGCAACGTATATAAGGGTAGAGCAGTAGGTTGGTAGTAGTAGAGTGCTATGCAGGGCATTTCATTTGAATTATGTCTGGAGTTTAGTATTTTATGCAAGAGGGAGTAGGCGAATTCGTCTACGAGAACTTACTCTCTTGGGTGCGAAAGACGGTTCTGCGTACCCTGAATACGGAGAGGCGTAGCCTGTAACGACACTACAACAGACGGAGGGTTGGGCGGGAGAACTTGTTCTCAACAACCTTTGGTCGTATGTGGAAGGAAAGCTTTTGTGGTTGATCGTATGCTAATTTAGTGTTCAGGAGTATTCGGGGTTGAGATATAGTCTGGAGGCGTAGTTGATATAGCACTGCGATGTGTGAAATACCAGAAGATCAATTTCTAGCTGTTTCAGATGTACTCCTACGCGACACGATGTTGTGTGCTTGTATTGTTATCGCCTTAACAATATGAGTCCACCATTTGTACCACGATGAGAATGTGCCCGAAGAGATTACATGCCGACCTAAAACCTCTACTCAACCAACAGAGTATAGAGCCTACACCTCCAACACATGACCTCAGTGCGTTACACAGCTACGAGCACACACACCAAACCCAACCCCAAACCTATGATACCAAACACCGAGATCCTATAGGCGCTCAATACCAAACACCTCAATCTTATTCTCATGCCGCTAGACTAGATACACCAAACCCAACTCCTACATCTGCTCTGCTTCACCCCACCACTGTCAGCTACGTACTACCGTCCTCTCAACGCCATATTTCCCCAGCGGAGAGAACGCACATCCCCTTCCCAGCATCAGAATCACCGTTCAACCTTTTCCACATACATACATACATACATACATACATACATACATACATACATACATACATACATACATACATACATACATACATACATACATACATACATACTAAGACTCTGTTTCTCCTTCCGTTTCTATTTCTAATCCTGAGTCCTAAGATACGTGATGTAATGTATGCAATGGCAGGTGTAGGCGAATAGTACGAAGAGTATGGATATATATACTTGTATAAAGTCCGAGTGTGAGAAATTAGCTGGGGGTGAGTTCTCGAAGTGAGATGTAGGACGGGAGTCAACACGCAACTTGTGTAAGAGTAGAAGAGTACGAACGAGAACGTTGAAGAGATATGGAAATTAACGTGGTAGATGATGTCGTTGTATGAAGAATGACTTGCAACGAGAGTACTACTTGTTGCAAAGACAAAAAAGTATACGTCTTATATCAGAATGTCATGCAGCTACCGTGTGGCACCATCATATTTCGCATTTCCAAAAGAAACAAACGCGTGTGATATGCAATTTCAAGATCCCCCAACACCACAAGACACCGGACCCCACAAGCAAAGTAACCGTCTGAATCCGCAACACTACACATCCACCCCCAATACAACTCTACTCCCTAAACTCCCTATCCACGCTCTCAAACCTCTCCAAAAAGCTCTGAAACGTAAACACGCCGAGTCCCGGATCCAAGCTCCCCGTCGTCGCACGGATAGAATGCATCGACAACTGCGGAATACCACAATCAATAGCGCGAATACCCGTTGCGGAGCTCAACATCGGGCCCACGGTACCGCCACTCCTGCTATCGTTTCTGATCTGGAAGACCTGGAGTTTCGGGTCGACGGAGCGAGCGCCGATGTCGCGATCCACGCAACGCTGCAGGATAGCCGTCGAGACCGCGTCGGTAGTCATGTGCGCGTTCGAGTCCGCGCTGACGGCCGGTCCGACATTGAGGCGCGGGGAGTGGTTTTCGAGGTACGCGTTGAGGAAGTTTGGGTTGACGGCGTGGATGACGTCGCTGCTGACGAGGAAGGAGTTTGCGTATGTCCTGGCCAGGGTGCTTTGGACTTTGCTGTCAGTGAAGGCTTCGACGATGCGCTCCATGACGCTGGGGAGGAAGTTTCCGCGTGCACCCTGGCGGAGGAGCGAGCCGACTTCTTCGTCGTCGAAGAGCGCGACGATGCGGATTTGGGAGGATGAGGAGAGCGAGGTGGTCGAGTTGAGGAGGGCTTGGATGGCGGCCCAGCTGCAGAGTTTGTCGTCGATGCGCCCGGCGAAGATGAATTCCCGGCCGAGGCCGCCTGTGCAGGCGGGTTGGACGTCGAAGAGCTCGAGTTCCCAGTTTACGATGGTGGAGTCTGGAGATGGTCAGTATAATAACACGTAAGATTGGACGGGGAGTATTACAGTCTGTGATGCCCAGCTCTCCAGAGATGGCTTTGACGAGCCTCTCTGGCTGAGTCGTTATAAAGGCGCCCTCTCCACCAAGAACACTTGCTTTCCACTCTTCGTTCTCAGTCGACGAGGCGCCCAAATCCGAGTTGTCGAGCCCAACAATCGGAACCATCTGAGTCTCCCTATTGAACGGGCCGTTTGCAGCAGCTCCGAAATGTGGCGCAAGTGTTGGGATTCGTGCAATGGGCCAGTCCAGCTTGACCAACTTGCTGACGACCTTCCCGTTCTCCTTCACAAGGACTCGGCCACCGATGCCCAGGTCACGATCCCACCATGTGTCACCGAGCGCACCGGCGTATGGCGCGACACCGAGCTGCACGTAGCCTGCCTTGTTGCGCAGCTTGGGGATTGGTTTCAGTTTGGCGGTGAGCGCGTCGATGTGTCCAGCCACGATAGCGGCACCGTTGCCAGCCTCGTACTTCTCTCCAACAGCGAACGCGATGAGAGAAGTGCCGTTGCGGTCGACATAATACTTCCCTCCCGTCTTGAGGTCCCACGCATCGCGCTCGTTCAGCTTCTTGTATCCATCCTTCTCAAGATCTTGGGCCACGGCGTCCACAGCATGGAACACAGTAGGGTTCGCAGTCATGAAGTCGGTGAAAGGCTTCGTGTATTTCTCCGGACCTTCCTTCTCACGACGCATCGGTGTCACCTTGGAAGGAGCTGGCATCCACGGGTGAGAGGGTGCTGGGCGGCTCTCCCTCAGATGCGTGTTCTCTACCACTGGTACCTCTGGGATCTTCGGAGGCACGGGCGGCGGGTTTTGCTGCGTCGATGGTCTCGCAAAGTCCTCGTCAATGTCGATGAGGCCCATATACGACGCCGCAACGCTGTGACGGCTAGGCTGCCTGTTTGCCCATGCCCTCTCCATATCCCGGTCTATTCTGTCCGCATTCCTATCTGTCCTCGGGCGATGTGATAGGGCCGCAGTCGTGTGGGCACGTGACAGTGTCGAGTAAGAGTGTCGCAGCGGGCGAGGCGGCGAGGGATCCGAGTACAGGTCAGCGTTGGACGCCGTCTTGCGGAGAGATGGATGGTTCTTGGTCATGTTGAAAGATCGGTGAGTGTCTCAGTACGGCTTGATACGAGAGACGTCGAGTGAGGAGATAAGTGAGTGAGTGAGCGAGGGAGAACTTGGGAAAGTGTGGATGTTCAGTGTCGTGGTCGTGTCGTGTCGTGTTGTGCATGGGTCATGCATGTGATGCGCAAGCTCTCAGCCACACAGTTTCAGCTCCGCCCCACGCCACCACCATCATTGAGAGGCAGTGGTGCAGACATCACAACGACATCAGGTTTTCAGCAACGTGGGGTTCGTGATGATGGGGAATCGCGAGCTGCATGAGCATGATAGGCATTGTAGTCTGCGAAAATTGTGACATTTGTTGATGGTATCTGGATATCTCCACGTTCCCATGCCCAGCCTATGCTGCAGCTATTTCCAAAATTAATTCATGACCAACTCCATCCTCATGCCGCCAAAATCAAGCCGTTGTTACACTGAGCAAACGTTTAGCATATCATCGTAGTTGTAGTCGCTATCGAAAACACCCAACGGAGCAAGAAGGCTAGGCCTTTGTCGAGAGTTATGGCTATTGGTCGTCTTCGAGAGATTCTGGGTGGCTAGAGCTTATCAGTATGGGATTTGCTAACATGAACGTGCACACTCACCCGAGTATGTCCTTGATGTTTTTCATCTCGTAGTGCTTCTTGCGCATGTTCTCGAACTGGCGATGTTTTTCCCTCTCTTCCTGTGTCGCATTTGGGAGAAGCTCGCCATGGTATCCCGTATCCTCCTCAGCTCCCTCCTCAACCATGACCCGTTTCTCGCTCTCAGGCGTCATTGCCCCTCGCGCCTGCAGTTCAGGTTCGCCCAGATCGAAATCGGGAATGTCGTCCATTTTGGGCTTTCGCTTGGATCTCGCATCGAGTTCGTCGACTTTGAGGTCCTCCGCATTCAGCATCTCGATCTCCTCTTCGTCCTCCAGTGGATCGTACTGCTTAGCATAGGGTGTTTTGGGCTCGTCGATCTTCATGGTGCTGTCGCGATTTTGCTCGTTGAGGTAGAGATTGGTCTCGTCCCACTTGAGTTGTGTGTTGTTCTCATCGACATGCGAGCCGACGCCCGACTGGCGTCGTGAGATAGGACCACGGGCATTCGAGGACGAGCGGCGGTGGGCGGCGGGACCTGCATTGCGCAGCGTGTTCTCTAGCACAATTTCCTTCTCCGACAACTCGCGCCCAAGTTGCGGGCGCTCACGGATGGGACTTGTGGCTGGTGGGGCATCGTGGGTGGGGGAGGTTGGCGTACGGTAAGAATTAGAATTCTTGAGAATACCTGTAGTCGACGTTAGCCATGGGCGCGACACACGTGTGACTGGGAGGGGACTTACCCCTGGGCCGCTCTGCGTGCGACGTTGGTGACTGCGGGGTCATGGCTGCTGTGTTGTGGTGAGGTGAGGAAGACTGAAAGTGTTTTCACGTGCGAATGCCTGCAGCGTGGAGTGATGTTGCGGTAATCCTGAGAGCAGCGGTGGGAAAGAGAAAAGAGTGGGCAAAGACTGGGTATGCGCTGTAATTTGAGGGCGTGGTTCCTTCCGTGTGAAGCTACCGAGGAAAGCGCGACTGACGCTGGCAAGTGTTGTTGTCTAGAGGGTAACGTAGAATGACGGCATCGTGCAGCAACCCCGCGTTCCTATTCTGTTCTCTGCTTCTGCTCTCCGACTCTCCAACCACTAACCTGGTCATGTTGTGTTTGCCGCATCAAGTGAATCGCAGATCGCGCAGGAACGCTATCGAACATTGCGCCAGATGCACACCATCACGTCCATCAATAGGCGCCACAGTGACTTGTGCATTGCTACGCTACATAGCTAATAGTGGAGCTCTCTTGGGCTGCCGTGACAGCATAGTGGCTGCATGTGGCCGTGGTGTGAGTGGAGACCAGAGAACGGTCGTTCAGCAGCACACTCGGGCAAGACTCGATGCATCTAGCAAGGCCATGTCACGCTTCTCTCATATCACGCGAGTGAGCGGCAGCTTCGAGTCATCTAACAGCTACCGGCTTGTAGTTCCTACGTCTTCTCATCCAATTAGTCGAGGTTCAGTAACAACATGACGAGTGCAGGTTGGAGCAGTATTCTTCAGACTTTGCCGTGTGACATCAAGCTCAACCAAGGTATCGCAGCAAATCGCGACGATTTTATCTGGCTGAGACTCAGACTACCAGAAGTGGTGGTCCAAAGACCTAGTCATCCCAAGAAAGGTCGTGCAAACACTAAAGCGTGTACGGAGTACATACAAAGAGAATATGAGACGCATGAGACGCGTCGTCGCGTGACAAAGGCATGTTCCTGCTTATAGGTCATCACCGCATCATGGAAGCCGCGAAGGCGGCCCTCGTGACAATGGTTTTAAAAGAGGATTGGTTTGCTCTGGGCCAGTTTTCGGAGTCGCCAGCCGAGTAGAAGTCGTCGAGCTGGCGATGATTTGAGTAAAAGGCCGTGGTTGTAGAAGAGAAGCGGAGGCCACGCGAAGATTTTAAAAGTGCCTCGCCGCCAAGCTTTCCTTTCTGCCGCGGAAGGTCGAACTGTCTTTGGGCAAGTGTCAACTCCACATGGGTTTTCTCACAACCACAACCCATCTCTGTATAACGCACCTCATTGCCCACCAACCAAGACGACTGCACGCCCTGAATCTCGCCATTATCCAACGTCCACTATCATTGCAGTACAATCACAAAAAGACTACTCCCAGCAGCTTCTCACGCCCTCGACACCCCGCATCTAAACGCACATCTGCACGCACATTGGCCACTGGCCCTTAGCTTTATTCATTCTCTCATTCGCTCGCTACTCTCATCCAGCTCCAGACGACGTAGTTCGATCCCACCTCTTATTTCTTGTCTTGATACAGCTGCCAATGGATACCGGGGAGAACCTCTGGACCCGCCGCTCCAAGTACGCCCGCCCGCCTCAAAGTCCCCGCATGTCCGCGGCCATGTAACTGACATCACCCACAGCACCAGCAAGCTTTCCCTGTCCATGTCGCAGTCGGACCACCCCAGCGACAAGGCCGATCCTACCCACCGCGCAACTCCTGCGACCAAACGCTTTGGCGGGGACACGTCGTCACACGGTGGAAGAAACCCCTTCAACGCTGTCAACTCGCCGTTGACACCTGGAGGTCTAGCTTCTCCAACCGCCGGTGGCTCGTCAGCCTTTGGCCTTGGGTCGGGCGCTTTCGCTTCGTTTGGATCTTCCGCGAAGACTCCCAAGACTCCAGGCTCTGCCTTCGATTTCAAATCGACCACATCGTCTGCGGCCACACCTACAACGCCAGCAGAAAGGAGAGACAAGCCCGCAAACAAAATCGTGAACAGCGTACGCAAAGAGTCGATATCTACGGTAGCGCTAGAAGACACAATGGGCTCGTCAGCACCGCTAGACCCTAATGTGCCGTGGCCATTGAAGTATTCGTGGGTCATCTGGTACAGGCCACCAACGCCCAAGAACACCGACTACGAAAAGTCCATGACTGCCATGTGCAAGATGGATACCGTCCAGGACTTCCACAAAGTATATCGGCACCTCAAGCGCCCCTCGACTCTTCCGGCTGTCTCCGATTACCACTTCTTCAAGCACGGAATACGGCCGGTGTGGGAGGATGAGGAGAACAAGCGGGGTGGGAAATGGATCATGCGCCTGAAAAAAGGCGTCGCCGACCGTTATTGGGAAGAGCTACTCATGGCTCTCGTAGGCGATCAGTTCTTCGAGGCTGGCGAGGAGATATCTGGCGTCGTGCTTAGCGTACGGAGTGGGGAGGACATCTTCAGCATATGGACCAAGAACGATGGTGGGCGCAACATCAAGATCCGGTTAGTATCTGCGTCATCGCGAAAATTTGATCACTTGACTTACAGGTTCGACAGGGAAACCGTTAAACGCGTCCTCGGTCTTCCTGATGGCACCAACATTATCTGGCGGAGCCATGACGACAGCATCGCGCAGAGAACGGCGATCGATCAAGCGCGCCATGAAAAGAACCAGCACAACCACGAAAAGCGGAGAGTGACCTCACTGGATGAGTCGCCGCGGGACAAGCCCATAGCTGGCTCATAGATGCCGCTTTGCCTACTCACTACTGACCTCCCTTAGCGTGGATATTGTCGGAGCGTTCAACCGATATACATTTTGAGCGACAGGCTAGAAGGGACCTGATCATACAAGAGTAGAAAGGGGGCTGGGATCAGGAAAATCGAAAGCGGTTCGCGATTCGACTTTCCACGACCTGTTATGGTCTTGCACACTCGCCTCATGCAAGACGTCGCAGGAGCTTATTTTCGCGCCTCACGAGGAGTTAGCGTCTGACCATCTATGTTTGCCGCATGTCTTTGCTCCGGCCTAGTCCATTTCCGCCTGGTTATAGGCTTTGACAGCCTTGCCTTCACATAGCCCCAGTATGTCATCTGGGTTCTTCACGCGTCATTATAATCGCTATCGTCCAGCTCTTGCCTCTTTCTCTGGTCGCCATCCGTCTAGTGGTCCACTTCCGGCTCGAGTTTGTCTTTGTTCGGTCCTCTTATGTACGGTCAGGATACTGCGCCAATTTTATCGTCCACGGTAGTCAAAGTGCATCACCTAGATCCAAACAAGTTCATGGAGACGGAAATGTTGTAAAGGACGATCGAATGAACGGGGCCGATCTCTCCTACACTGAATCGATACCTCAGGAAGCACGACATGGATTCTCTGGCCAAGTTCCTCGCCACGAAAGCAAACGTTATCTAAACCCTCTTTTTTCCCCGCGTGGGTAGGCATTTTGCGCTCGCCACGAACGCCGCGCTTTCTCAAAACCAAACAATCAGTCAGGACTGTCTTGACAACTACACAATGTTGTTCGATAATTCTCTTCCCATATACATAGCGATATCATTCGCAAGTAGCATGCCATCGAAATTAGGGGTAAACTTAATGAGGAGGATCACGAAAGGCTGATGGCGATTGAGTTGGTGGGCTTTTGGATTCAGAAGTCCTCAGCGTTTGGTTCATAGCATTACAAGGCGCGAATCGTTGGTCGTTTTCCTGATTTTGCGCATCGTATACCCGCTCACCTGTCTTGGGCGCCATGGACTGGGTTGTGTTTGGTATTGGTCTGGTATTGGTTAGGCACAGCTTGCGAACAAGACTATATGATAGCAGGGTGGTCTGAAGAGATGATGACGATATGGTTCGAAGAAGACGCATTACACTCCAGCTTTCTTCGCTTACCCGTTTGCTCTGTGTGTGCTCGTGCTCGTGCTCTCACCTGGTTCTGTGAGTAGAGTTTGTAGTCGGTGAGATGGTACGTCAGTGCGCAAGCCACAATCGCGACCTCTGCTTTGCGACCTTCACTCACATCCACATGCCCCGCCGCGCCTCACGCGCTTCGTACGTGTCTCATACAGACGCGCCGTTGTCTTCACAAACATAGCCCTGCGACCATTTCGCTGCACAGCTGAAAGATGCTGTACCAATGGTCGACAAGTTCTTAAACAGCCTTCGTGAATTTGTCGGGTTCGCGCATGCAGACGACGTATGACCACTTTCTTTCGCCCGCTGGTCGCCTCTCTGGTCGCCAAAGCGTTCGGTTTCACACACATTTACTTGCGAGATACCTCTCACCCTACTGACGCCATGTCTCCCCAGACACACCATGCAGAACAGAGTCGCGACCACGCTTCATCTCCACTCGCCGCCGCATTCGACCCACCACGCGCCTCAACGCCGTCGACTGCGAATTCGTCCATAGATCTCGCCAGCTGGCCGACAGGACCTCAGCAACAACCTACCCAGCGAGTGGAGCTGCCAGGCGCCAAGCGCTCACGACAACCATCTGGCAGAAGCGACGACGAACGTCGATTGATTCCAGATTACAGGTGCGCCAGACTGCGAGAAACAGGGAAGGAGCCAGGAACAGAGAGCTAATACTGTGGGCAGCACTCCCGCCGATGCTGTCGCGCTGCCGAAGCCTGAGACCTGGCCCACAATCCGATTGAGCACGGGCGCGACAATGCCTAAGAAGGCATGCTTATGTTCCGGCGCTTTTCCATGAAGACATCATGCTGACAAAAGCTAGCCGAGTGCGAATGGCAGCTTCAAACCTATCAACACGCTCGATGGCGAAAATCTCGGACATAACCGACCCAGGGTCACAACGTATAGCAAGTGGGATCGTTCAACCAATCCTTTGATCGGCCACGAGTACCACACAGGACAGAAGACCTACGTCGAGAATCAACTGAGAAAGAAGCTCACAACGCCTCATCACCATGCACCTCCTCGGGAACATCACGATCAACGTCTTGAGGGTACTACATCTGTCAAGCGAAGGAAAATTCAACATGAATCAGATGAGATCGTAGATGATGACGACCCCGTGGAAATCTCGCCTCCTCCAATACGACGTGCGCCAACTTCTCGCTCCCACGAAACCCCGCGTTCGACACAGTCCCCACGGTCACATCGCAGTCAGGGTAGTGTACGTCCATCTACTGCGCGCAAATCAGGTTCCCCGCCACCGAGTGGATTTATCGCTACCGGCAAGGTGACTGATCCACATCGCCCCAAGAGGAGAAACCCAGGGGGGAGTGTAAGCCACGGTATCCAGTACCCTCACCAAGAATCTCAGGAGAAATTTCCACATGGCAACCACTTGGAAGCGCAAGACGATGAAATTGTGGAACAAGTTCCGAGTTCGAGAAAGCAAATCCTCGACGGCATCCATCAGGGTGTGTTAGATGGTGTTTTCCAGGGGGGCAGGCCAAGTTCACGCGACCACCACTCTGAAATAACGTCGCATCATCTCCCCCCGAAAGCACGAATCAACGAGTCTACCGTGGAGGTTGAACAGCTAACGTCAGATTCACGGGATGGATATCACAGGCAGTCGAAAGATCTGCGGAATTATCGGCCAGCCCAACCTCTGGATGACAATGACGATCCCATCGACACGAGCGAGGACGAACTGGCAGCAGATATGACGACGAAACCTGGAAAGAAAAAGTCTCCCTCGAAGACGGTGACGGCTTCGAATAATAGTGCGAGGCGAAAGGAAGGCGGCAAGATACCCGCTGGTGGCTGGCCCCTGAATTTCGCACGAACCCATGGTTTTGAACAGAGGGGACCAGACATTTGGCTGAGGCGAGGCACTTCCAGTAAGGGGTTCCGAGTCGTTGGCAGAGGCACTGACGGCAATCTACAAACGTTGAACGACGCACTGGACTTTAGTCATGTCACCAAACTATTGACGGACGACGTATCTCGAATTCGGCTCGAAGGACCTCGTTCGCGAAACGGAAATTTATTCGTCTTCGATCTCGAGTTTGTAGAATACGCCGACTTTGAATACTTCTACGAGATCATTGCCAAACCCGACTGTCGAAGCCAGATATCGAAGGATCAGTATGTTTGCTGATTATGGGTTTTAAGGCATGAAACTGATGAATCCAGATCTCATTTGATAAAGCTGCACGAACTGCCTCTTCAGACGAACAACAAAGTCGGCCAATCGCCTTTGGTGCTTGGGGACTACGTGCGGTCTAATCAGGAGCAGAGTAATGGCCAACAAAGTGGATTGAAGCCTACGTTGATGGATCAATTGAGGCAGTCTTCCAGTTTAAAATCAACGTCGCAGCCCAACGATGGGAAAAAAACTGCGCAGTCTTCTACAAGAACCTTGACCCGACCACCTCGTTCTACGAGGTCGGGGGCGCCAACCCATGACTTGGAGAATACGAACGACGTACGAAAAGTGAATAAGAGTGTCTCCAAATTCTCCATCGAGAAAGGCTTAGGACCTAGATGGCACAAGTGAGGACAGACACTACTATGTTGTTTTGGTGTGTTTGCTGACACATCATAGGTCACTTTCGTATGGCTCAGGTCGGCAGAGGAGTGAGGTCCATCAAAACGATCTTACTCGTCTCGATGATGACGAAATGTTGAACGACAACTTGGTCGACTTCTACTTGAGGTATGTTTCTTGGATGCTGAACATTGCCTACATGCTGATAATCGCAGCTACATGTTCGACAAGCACAATGTCCCGGCAGAAAAGGTGTACGTGTGGAATACCTTTTTCTTCCCGACGCTGACCGTAAACACTGGTCGGTCGAGCATCAACTACAAAGCAGTAGAGCGTTGGACTGGGAGGGCCGACATGTTCAGCTACGACTACATCGTCGTCCCGATCAACGAATCGTAGGTTCATCAATGGTGTTCCTCGCCGATAGTTGCTAACTTGCATGCAGCTTCCATTGGTATCTTGCCATCATCTGTAATGTGTCTAAGATCGATCGAGCACCAGTCATCGAAAACTTCGACGAGGGTCTTCCTCACCCAACAGAAAAACCCGCCGAACTCGGAACCGAGGACGAAACAAGCACAGAGCATGAAGTCACTGATGTGCCGCAGCCTCTCGATGGTCCTCAGCTCTCGACCCCCGCCCCAAAAGGCTCTGCTTGTCTGATCGACGATGATCCTAATCTATTTGACGAGGAGAAAGAACTCCGTCTGGTGGATCGCGATGACGCGGGTACGGAGTCCAACTTGGATCACATGGACAATCGCGAAAAGACATCACAATCTCCACCACGAGCAGAGGCTGCTCATGTACCACACGCCGCCACTGATTCGCATACGGCCTCCGCGGCCAATGTCTCTACCTCCAATCCACCGTTAACCAAGAAAAAGGGTAAGAGCAAACCCAGACAGCAGAGAAAGGATCCAGACCAGCCTGTCATAATCATTCTCGACTCGCTCAGCCATACACGCACTGGGACCACCCGCGCCCTGAAAGAGTGGCTCAGGCAAGAAGGCAAGACCAAACGTGGCATGGAAGCGGAGATCAAGGAGAACGGCCACTATCCCAAGGAACCTCTGATTCCTACGCAACAAAACCTTACCGACTGCGGTGTCTATCTGCTGGGCTATGCTGAAAAGTTCTTCCGGAACCCTGACGAATTCAAGAATAGGTTGCTCACCGGTGAGATGACGACTGAGACGGATTGGCCAGATATGAAGCCGACGGAGATGCGGAACAAGATGCGTGAGACTCTGTTTGAGCTTGCGGACCAGCAGAAGGTGAGAGACAAGGCGGCGAGGAAGGCGAAGAAGACTGCGGAAAAATCGAAGACCGCGCCAACGCTCGACAAGCCAGAGCCCGCCAAACCAATGCTTGCGGAACCTCAGCCTGAGGATGCGGTAGCCAAAGAGTCAGAGGCTCCAAAGGTGGAGGTTACGGGAGTCGAGTCCGCCAAAAGGGAAGAGGTGGAATCGGACGTATCGCCTCCAGCTGCAGCTCAAAACGCTAGACTTGGCTCGCCTTTCAACTACATATCGCAGCCTGCTGAACCTAGTCCCCATCTACAGTCGACAGAAAACGTGTACGTCCCCAAAGTATCGGATTCTCCACCAATTGCAACGTCACCCATCAAGCCGGCATCCACTACCCCACAAGCGAAACCTTCACCAAGAAAACGCAGTCCGGAGGTGCGCATATCGACCAAGCATACACCGTCGCACACAACGAACGGCAACAGTCCAGCGGCAGGTTTGCATATTTCCGCAACTACCTCTCGTTTGATAAGTCCGAGCAGGATACGACAACACGACGGATCGAACGATAGGGAGCGCCTTCACATAGTGAAACCGCCTGTGAAGTCACCGGAGCTTACACAGCAGAGAGTACGAGGTACCTCGGTGAATCCCATCGAGATTGGCGACTCGCAGGATTTATCACAAAAGGACACCGTGGATCACGCTTCTGCACCTGTTGCGAAAAGCTCGCCAGCGCAGCGCAGACCGCCTTCAAGGTCTTTTATACCGCTCCTACGCCACTCACCGTCCGTTGTAGAAGTCTACCCACCTACCCACACGCCAAAAATTGAGAGAACAAAGCGGAATGTAGCAGGCAACGAGTACTCAAGGAACGATCTTGAGGTGCAACTCGAAATGGCTATCCAAAATCGCGATGGCACGTCGCGCGATCAGGCCATCGCGCTAGACCGTACGCAAGAGTCAGACGCTGGGTTTGACATGATGGATGGGGTGCAGGGATCGGAGGCGGCTACTCAGGATGTGGATGTGGAAATGGTGCCAATTGACGATGTGGAGAATACACAGGATACAGTGGTTGCGGAAACGCCGGAGCGGAATAGGTCGAGTCCGCCAGCTGCTATGGAAATCGATACGCAGGTGCAGACGGGATGGGCGCCGGGTGATATGGTCAAAAAGGTTATGGGCTTGGAGTGATGGGCGGGGAAAGGGAGGGGAGGGTAGGTAGACTGGTGGGTGTATGGATTATCACGTGGTAATGTATTCTATGTAGGGTCATGTATACGACTCCTGTGTGACTTGGCTGGGCTCTGCGTACGTGGGATGTGCGACTCTTCGCAAAACGATCAACCAAGACCCAGTGAATGATCAGAAGATGCATCATTCCAACTGGTTCCACGTAGAAAAAACTCCCACTACCCTAACCCTCACACACACGCATGACCAACCCACCACAACACAACCACCCAACACACAAACCCTCGCCCCTCATCCTCTCAAAGCACAACATCCACATCCCCCCTCCCTTCAAATCGTCTCCCCACCCCCTCCCTCACTGCTTAATCTCAATAACATTCCCTCCCGCTCCCCCAATAGCCCCAGGACGACCCCTCACGCCCACGGCGACCTGCACATCGAAACCCCACTGCCGAGCGCGCTCTTCGGCTAGGTTCGCCGCTTCGTGCTCCAGTTGCGTTGCTGCGGCGGCGAGTTTGGCGCTGGCGTCTGCGAGGTTGGTGGCGAGTTGAGCGAGCGAGTGGGCGAGGGTTAGGAGGGCGTCTGGGGTTGTCATTTCGTGGGTGGTTTGATTGGAAGTTGGGGTATGTTGGGGGTGTGGGTGTCGTGTACTGGTGGTGGGGATGGTGCTGGAAGTGTGGTTGGAATTGAGGGGGCTTGTGGAGATGATTGGAGTAGTGTGGAAGCTGGGCGCTTGTGATATATATATGTCCTGCCGACATTGATGACTGCGAGTGTTTGTGGTGTCGAGCCACTGCACACAATTCACAGACAGATATTCCATAGCGATGCCGAACGGTTGTGCAAACAACAACAACATCCGAGATTTACGAAAGTTATTCACGCTCAAGAGCGAACGACATAAAAGTGTTGTGGATGATAGACTCTCTGTGAATCGTTGATACCGTGACCACTTTGTTATACGATCCTGTTTGCTGAGTCGTCGAGGTGAAATCGGTCTGTCCAACGCGAATGCCTCGTGAGTATTCAATGTTCGGAGACTGTCGTGTTTGCGAGCGAGGTGACATGTACCATCATACATTCAAAGATCCGAGAAATTTCTATACTGAGTCGAGAATGTAGCGAGCTTGCACGATCCAACACATCGCGGAATGCATTCGCTGTAAGTTACGTTCAAATATGGAGCGCGCAACTAAACTGATCCGTGGAACTCGATCCCGTCAAACTACAAAAAGGACGACTTCGTCTACCATGTGTCACAATCCTGTCTACCGATGCACTGAAAACTCCGTATTGCCTCATCTTATGCACTTCCCCGCCTGTACATCTTCGGCTGTACTTCCCAGGTATTCTCCACCAGCGGATGAGTGTCAATCGTCTCAATAGGCTTTCCGAACGCCGAAGAAGCCTGCAATAGATTTGCCGAGCACATAATGTGTGCAGAGTCATTCTATCCTGCAGCATGAAACAAAGTAGGGTTGAAGAAGAGCCCCTCGCCCTTGTCTAACGTGGCAGAGACATGGTTGTCGAGGAAGTACTGGCTGAACGGGAGTAGGCGGGTTGGTCCGCTCCTAAGGAATCGCGATGGAAGCCGGAACCCACGGCCATAGACCGGTCTGGGAGTTTGATGAAGACGCATTCGGTATGTCGGAATGTGCAACAGCACTTTGTAAGACGAGGAATTGAGAGGCAATCTGCAAGGCTTTTGTACGTCTCGAGAAAGAGCATTTACCCAGTTATGAGTGGAGTGCTTCGCATATGATCACACGAATCTGTCCTACATGCAATCGTTCCTTGATCACTCCCCATGTCCTGCTCCATCATACAGCGCAGATCTCCAAGCTCCATCCTCATCTTTCTGCAAAGGAAGTTGTCATGCGTACTACTAATCTATCGCCATTGAAAATGGCGTCGCAGACTTCCCGTGAAAACACATAGCACCCTTGACTTCATCACCTCCAATCAGCTCAATGATATCGCCCTCTACAGTCTCAATGAAATCACGCAGCAGTATATCAATTCTTGAATCTGTTCATTTGCTCCTCCCTATCAACCGCTAAAGTCGCCATAGCAGACCAGCTGCTCCATCTCCTCACTCTCTCCTTAAGTCCAACTTCTACTCGTACCCCCTCACGCCATCCCAATCCGGAGTATCCCAATCACCATCGTCCCTCCTCCCTCGCCTCCCATCCCGACCCCCCGACATATACCCTCCACATCCACCCCGCTCCCCACGCATCTGTCCCCGCACATACGCCATATACTCATCATGCTCGTCATCTGAATCAACCTCCGCCCCGGCCCCCTCATACCCCGAAGATTGAGAGTATTCAATCTGACCCGTCGAAGACACGACCTGGACCTGAACGCGCGGCGCAGACTGATACACAATCCGCGGCTGAGCAGCAGGCACATGGATAACTTGAGGAGATTGAGGGACATGAATGATCTGCTGACGCTGCTGCTGGACGATGACCTGCGGCTGCTGCTGCTGTTGCACGATAACCTGCGGTGGCTCCTGCTGCTGCACGACGATGCGCTGCTCGGGCTGCGCGATGACGATGGGGTTTGGCTCTGCTCCAAACGCAATGGCCCACTGGTCGTCGCCCCGCCTCCGCACTTCTGCGCGTATCCGGCTCATGGAGATTTGGAGATCGCCGCCGTAGTAGTAGTCGTCGCCTAGGGCGACGTGGGACTGATAGTCTGCGTATAAGCTCGCAAGGGCTTTGGTGGAGATGTTTGCGAGGTAGGCGGGTTGGAGCGGGACCAAGGGGTGGAGGAAGACGCGGAATTCGTCGGGGACGCGACGGTTGGGCATGGTTGGGTGGGTTGGGGTTTGTTTTGTTGGGTGGTGTTGTGCTGTATGGTGTTGTGCTGTATGGTGTTGTGCTGTGAGGTGTTGTGTTATGTGGTGTTGTGTTGTAGAAGGTTGGATATGCTTTGGAGGTGCGTTGATTGTAGTGTTATTGCTGGTTGAGTGGGTAGATGTGGATGGATATAGGGAAACGGTAAGAGGAGAAAATCGGCAGACTTATACTAAAGAAGGCAGTGTGAAGGTTGTTCGTTCTTCACGGCTGTGTTGACTGTGTCATGGAATTCGAAGTTCGTCAATTGTGTGTTGCGGCAGCCACTCTTTGTTTGGAGTTGCGGTCATTGATTAAAAAGTACCTCAGGGGAAGACTACAATTCCATCCTCAAACATTTCTCGGCCTGTCAATACCTATTGAATTTTCCAACACTGCAAATTCGAGTCAAAATTCATCGTTCCGCCATGTTCATAAGCGCCTTCTCTCTCCCCAATCCTCTTCCTCCCCCAAACCCTACCACCCACAACCACAACTCTCACATACAACACCCAAACCCAAATTCCAACACTTTACACTAAGACCTCATCTCCTTAACTGACACCAACCCCCAATCTCCCCGCCCCCCCCATAACCCCAACAACCATGCCAAGTATCCGCTGGAAACCCGGCATGCCAACCAGCACAATCTGGCACCCCGTACCTAACCTCATACTTCAAACATACCCGAGCGCGGATCTCGAAGTCCTCGCCTTGCAGATAGAAAATAGATCCAATGCCGACAGACAGATGGAGTACGACGCGGTCTCTCCGGGGTATCACGTTCAGGTTGAGCAGACTGCGACGCGTGCTAGGCAGATTCTTCAGCGGCGAGGTGTGCCGACGACGGTTGTTGTGCAGAGGCCGCAGCAGGTCGTTGTGCAGCAGCAGCAACCACAGCAAGTCATCGTCCACCAGCAGCAGCAGCCGCAGCAGGTTGTTGTCCAACAACCACAGCAAGTAGTTGTCCACCAACAACCACAACCGCAAATCGTAGTCCAACAACCGCAACCGCAAATCGTAGTCCACCAACCCCCCCAGCCCCAAATCATCGTCCACCGCCCCCCCCCCCGCCGCATCCTCGTCCCGCCCCCTCCGCCCAAACTCATAATCGCGCAACCAGCCCGCCCACAAATCATCTTCGCGCCCGCCCCCCAGCCCCAAATAATCGTACAGCAACATCCAAGCCCCCAGCTACAAATTCTGGATAGTTTCGGCAACTTGATGTTAGAATCCAGTGATGATCAGGACCAGGAGCGGAAGAAGAAGGCAGAGAAAGAGAAGGAAGAGCGGTTTGGGCAGAAGTACGCGAAGATGAAGGAGGAGGATGAGGAGAGGGATGAGTTTCTGCGGTGGAAGAAAGGGAAGGGGAAGAAAAGTAGCGACGAGGGGGAGGAAAGTGATGAGCACAGCACACAGATGAAGATGATTGAGGCACCCCCGCTTGAAGACGACGATGCGGATTTGCAGGCTGCGATTGAGGCGTCGATGCGGGGGCTTGATGAGGAGCATGCGAGGCAGGTGGAGGGTGTGATTGCGCAGTCTAGGAGGGGGAGGGAGGGGGAGAGCAGTCGGCGGGCTGGTGAGACAGGTGCTGGGAGCGCGAGTGGGAAGGGGAAGGGGAAGTATGTTCCTTGAGGTGTGGGGGATATGATGGGTTAGATAGGCTGGAATAGTAGGGAATACACATATAGACGTTGATATTGACCGTTGCCTTTGCCTTTCCCCTAGCCAAGTATGTTGAAGAAACTGACACGGTCAACGACAATCCTGAATCACACTGACATCTACTCGTGGGCAGCGAAAGGTGTAGTCGGCAAAAAAGACAAGATGTAACAGACGTGATGTAAATGTGAAGCAAAAGTTTGGGTATCGTACCTAAGCGCCCACAAAAAGCTCTCTATTTCCCTCCAGATCAAGACTCCGTATCCCCCTCCCTCTCCATACGCGCACGAATATCTCTAACCAGCGCCTTCGCATCCTCAACCTCGACGCCATCCTGACACAGCTCATTCGCAAGCTCCATACTCCTCTGGTACATACCGCGCATGTACTCCCATCTCGCGAGCCACAGCCTAGCCTTGCTAGTCGTCGCGGTAACACCCACACCGCCGCCGACTTCATCATCAGCTTCGGGACCTTCTTCCTGCGCGAGGACAAGCTCCATGTAAGCTGCAGATTCTGGCATGTTGTTGAGACGCTCGTATAGCAGTGCGATCTGATACAGCACTTCCGGGTCGAGGATACCGCCACCCAAACCCGGGGCATCGCCACTGCCAAACGACGAGCCGACGCCGGCGTCATAGTAGGAGCCAGCCACTAGCGCGCGTTTGTATGCTCGTATGCCGTTCATGATTTTGCCGACCTTGCCGAAACATTGACCGACTGCCATCCACAGCTTAGGATCGTAAGGTCTTAGAGCAGCAGCGCGCTGATGGTAGAACAGCGCATACGAGTGCATTTCCAGGACTTCGTATGTCTGACCAAGACCATACCACGCGCGGTAGTCTTTGCGATTCACATCGACGGCTCGCCGGTAGGACTCGATGGCTGCGTGGGTGTTTTTCATCTCGACGAATTCGTGGCCCATCAGCGTCCAAGCGGAGAGGAAATTGCGGTCCAATGTCAGGGCGCGGCGGAAGTACATGACGGCCTTTTCGTGTTCTGATTTGAGGGAGTAGTAGTTGCCGACTACGCAGCATGTTTCGGGTCGGAATTTGTCTGTTGCCGTTGCGAGTTGGGCTAGGAAGGCGAGTTTTGGCCGCATACCCATGACATACAAGATGTTGGAGTAGTTGTCGAGGTGGTCGACGCGATGCGGGTCGGTAACGAGTAGGTCGGAAAAGATTTGCTCTGCATCGTCAAAGTCCTTGTTGTGGTAGTGCAGCAATGCGCGTTGCGTCTTCAGGAAGGCGGAGTTGGGGAAGAAGGCTGTAATTTGCGAAAGAGAGGTATGGACCTGTTCGTTGGCCGAATACAGCTCCTGTGATGATGTCACGTGGAATATGAAGGTCATGATGTTCTGTGGCAGGCGGTCGACGAGTTGATTGAGCTCTTCTATGGTGCTCAGCAGGCTTGTGAGCTCTTGCCATGCGCCCCAGTTGTAGGTGTAGTGCTGGACGCTGCGTATGAGGTAGTCGATGGCGAGTTTCTCGTTCTTTCCTTTTGCAAGGACGATACCATACAGATATTCCAGCCACCCTTGAGGCTGTCGTCCGCTCGTGGAGAGCTTGGTGAACCATTGTTCTAAGATGGCTGAGATGCCAGGCAGCTCTTTATTCAATGTGACACCGCCGTCCTGTGGACCCAGAATCATCTCACTATCCTCGTTCACGCGCTTCTCGCCGGCGATGTACTTGGCATACAGGGCCAGGAAGAGTGACTTCTGGCTCAGGCCGAAGACTGCATCGGTAGGCGCTTTGGGCTGTGCGGGGGTGCTAGTTTTCGCCTTGCCCTTCGCTGCCTGTCTTGTCTTGGGTGCGGGAGAGGATGTAGCGTATGCGGCGCCTCGGGGGAGGGCTGCGGGGAGGAAGACGGCGGCGCATCGATCGAACTCGCGGCAGTCGAAGTAGGTTTTGGCGAGGAGAAACTTGTGCGCCTCTCGGGCTTCTAACCGCGCCTCGATGGGGTCCTTGGGTACGGGATTCGGCGTGTGTGGAGGCGATGCATCCGACATTGGTGAATCGACGTCTGTATCGGAGCCATCATCGTCCGAGGAGGGCAGCGAAGTGAGCAGCTCTGCGGCCCTGTCAACATCAGCACGTGCAGCGGACAGTCGAGCATAAATATCTTGCGACGCACCATTTTGCTGAGTGGTAGAGACAGCGCTCGGTGCACGCGACGACAGCGTCCTGCAGCTGCGCCTTGAGCTGGGCCTCGTCGGCGGATGAAAGAGTGCTCATCACTGAGGGCACGGGGTGCTTGATTATAGAAGTGCAGTGGCTATGACATTGAAACGTGATGTTTGCGCTCAATGTTCGACATCCAACGCTCTGACGCGTGCGGTAGACGCGCACCGGTGGGGCAGGCGCGACTAGACAATGGCAAGACCCCTCGGCGAAACAACGGGCCGTTCCCCGCGGAAATTGACAGCTTCACCGCCGCATCCACCCTGTCAACTGCCCCTCAGCTCCTGTACACCCATTGCTTTTGCTGAAGATAGCCAAAGTCCTGCACTCGTCATGCCTACCACACTGAAGGAGTTTGAGAGCGTCTGGCCGCGCATCGTGGCCGACCTCCAGGACCACTGCAAGCAATACAAGCTGCCCCAGCAGTCCCTTGATTGGTTCACAAAGGTACCATCGAGCAACGTCTAGGATGTACCCGCGACTAACGGTCCCTGCAGTCGCTCGACTACAACACTGTTGGCGGAAAATGTAACCGTGGTATGTCTGTCATTGACACGACTTCCATTCTTCAGGAGACGACCCTGGACCCGGCGTCTGAGGAGTACTTCCGCCCAGCGCTGCTTGGCTGGATGATTGAGCTCCTTCAAGCCTTCTTCTTGGTATCAGATGACATTATGGACTCATCTAAGACGCGCCGTGGGAACCCATGCTGGTACCTCGCCCCCACGGTTGGCATGATTGCTATCAATGACGCCTTTATGCTCGAGTCCTCCATCTACCTCCTCCTGAAGAAGCACTTCCGCCAAGAAAAGAGCTACATCGACATGGTCGAGCTGTTCCACGAAGTCACTTTCCAGACCGAGTGCGGCCAGCTGTGTGATCTGATCACCGCGCCTGAAGACGACGTAAACCTCGACAACTTCAGCCTGGACAAGTTCACCTTCATCGTCATCTACAAGACCGCATACTACTCCTTCTACCTCCCTGTTGCTCTTGCCCTGCACTACATCGGCGCAGCCACCCCCAAGAACCTCCAAACCGCACATGACATCCTGATACCAATGGGCGAGTACTTCCAGGCCCAGGACGACTACCTCGATGCTTTCGCCGACCCCAAGGTCCTCGGCAAGATCGGCACAGACATCCAGGACAACAAGTGCTCGTGGCTGATCAACCAGGCGCTGCAGAAGGTAACCCCCGAGCAGCGCAAGGTGCTCGAAGACAACTACGGCCAGAAGAACTCGGAGAACGAGGCCAAGGTCAAGGCGTTGTACCACGAGCTGAAGCTGGCACCCTTCTACGAGCAGTGGGAGGAGGAGCGCGTTACTGATCTGCGATCGAAGATCGACAAGGTGGACGAGTCCGAGGGCCTGAAGAAGGAGGTGTTTGAGGCTTTCTTGCAGAAAATCTACAAGCGAAGCAAGTAGACGCTTCGACGAGCTACGATTTAATGATAGAAGAAGCTATAGATCTGGGAACTAATACATTTGTGAAGAATCTGCCAGTTGAAATGTTTTCGAAAGAGAAGTGATGTGATAGTCTCATCTTCGGCCCCCTTTTACTTTTAAACATCATGGTTCAAATCGTTTACCGATAGACATGCCGCTATAGAGAGAAAATATTTTCCTCCCTTAAAAGCCGCGAGAACCTCCACGCGCCTTGATTCTCATCGCACATCGAAGCTGATTCATATCCCACAAGACCTGCCCCAGAATACCCCAAGACACCAGTTCTCTCACACCCCCAACCCAAAATCCCAAACCTGCACCTTCCTCTCCCCAAACGCCCCACCCTGCCTAACAAACAAGCTCAACACGCCATACCCCCCCAGCCTCTCCACATCCACAAGCGGCTCACCGGCCATATTCCCAATCTCGCCCAACTTCACCCAATCCGCATACCCCGCTCCCGCCGTAGCGCCCCAAATCCCCACCGTCGCCCTCGCCACATCGGGCAGGATGGCCATTATATTTTCGCCTATGGCGGCGATCTTCCCGCGATACGAGAGGTACGGCGGTGAGGATAGGCCTGGTGCGACGATCGCGGTTTTAGTGAACTGCCCGGTGGGCGTGCGCAGGTAGTGGTAGAACGTTGCCGTGCCTGTTGAGTTGTCGCGCATGAGTGCGTGGAAGCGGCCGTGTTTATCCGCACACTGCGCTTCTTGGTTGATGATCTGGCTGTTCTGCGGGATTGCGAAGACCTTTATGCCAGGGGTATCGGGTGTAATGGGCAGCGCGACGGGGGTGCGATTCGTGTCTTTCCAGCTCACGCCCGCGTCCTCCGAGAGCGCGAAGTAGAAGTCGTGGTTCGTTACTGGGTCGGGGGTTTCGCGGACAGTCCAGGAGGTGAAGAGGGTGTTGTTTGCGTGGGTGAGGCCGTTGATGTAGGCGTTGTTGTCGGTGCCTTGGAGGTATTTTCCCACGTTGCGCCATTGCCCGGTCGTGCAGGAGTAGCGGTGGATATAGGAGTCGCCTGCGCCGGACTGGCCGGTGCGGAACTCCATTAGTAGGTCGCCGTTGGTGATGCGCTCGAAGCGCGGGTATGTTAGGGGTGTCCATGGGCCGGTGCTGCCGGGTAGCTCGTGGAGGACAGAGCTAAATGCGGTTGCGGACCAGGTTGGGGTTGTTGTTGTGGCAATGCCGGTGTTGCTTACGCGGTAGTTGATGGGTACGTCGTGGTGGTCGAAACTTAGGTGTATCTTGCCGTCGCCGCTGATTCCCATGCTGATGGTGTTGTGTTCATCGAGTGTGGTTTGCGTGTGGTTTGCGTGTAGTCCTCGAACGCGAAGAATTGCCAGTCAGTTAGTGAGGGCGAGATTTGGCGGCGGCCGAGGTTGACGTAGTGCTTGCCGTAGCCGGTGGAGGTGTTGTAGAAGGCGACATATTGGTGGTTGTTGAACGTGGTCAGGGCGTGTTGCTGGAAAGAGAGGCCATTGAGGTGGACAGAGCCTTCGACATCTGTGGAGATGTTCCAGTGGTTTGTTGAGGTTATGGAGAGGGCTGCTGAGAGGGAGGAGAGGGCTAGAATGGCTAGCAATTTAAAAAGATATCTCATCTTGAAGAAAAGAGAAAATATTCCTCTCAAGCCATGGACGCTGCATCGCTTTATACTTTGACAACTCGCATGTCTTCATATCGGTTGCCGATCCATGTGATGACATTCAGATTTACGGGTCAATTGCGCAGCGGATCAATTTCTACCAGAACGCAAATAATCTAGCATTTTCAGAATCAGCAAAAACCCATCAATTTAGATATTCTGTCGTGCGTGTGTCCAATAGCGACGTAGCCATCTTGTCACCGATCCATCATGGATAAATGTTCGCCGGGTTTCCGGAGGATTAATCTCGCGATGCGGAGAAGCTGGGGCTTATGTTCAGCCGATGCGATGATGATAGACTGAGGAGAGATAGAGCGTATCTGGCTGGACATGACAATGACGAGAGATCATGTTGTGTCGTCTCTTCCTTTTTCTTTAACATCGACAAGTTGAGAAACCTGGGAATGTTCAAATTGAAGGCCTGACGTCGTTGGCCTGCAAGCGAGGACGGCAAAGGCGTTTTGGTGGCTGACTAGCGGGGGTGGAGCTCTCCAACCTCAACATCACATGCTCCTTACCAATTCAAATTATCAGTCGTGTCGTGAGATACCACACCATGAGTATTTATAACGCTTTCCTCACATCCCAGATACGGCCGCCATTCACATGAAGATAACCCACACCCAAGCCCTCCAAATCAGGAAGGTGACCGCCAAGTAGGGCCCCTCAACTTGGCAACAACTGATCAGGCAAAGAATGGCGCGCCGGCACCGGGATTGGGTAGTTGGATATCGAATTTGAAAGAGCAATAAAAGGCCATGGCTTCCCCCAATTACAAGGTGGCGCGTTTCGCAATTGCAAAGAGATGGCAGCGTTTTCGGTACTGCTGTTTGCGGCAGCAGCTCTGGCGCAGACAGAATATGGCAACAATCATGTTACGGTGAATCTGGACGCGCAGATTGTCGAGCAGAACGCGTTTCCGGCTCCGAAAGTTACGCTTTATAGTCCTGCGTTTAGCGCGAATGCTTCTTTTGATCCTGGGTGGAGTCAGGGGACTGAGGGCGCGACTAGTCATGAGGAGTTGGGTATGGCAAGGCATTTCCTGAAGTTGCAAGTCCATCTGCTAAGGTCGTGATAGAGTTATTCCTGAGTGGTCTTGCAACGAAGAATCCGTCGTGGATGACATACAAGGTTGCCGACTTCCTCAGCGAAGAGGGCCATACGTTCCCTTATGTCTACCTATCCAGTTCATCAGTCGCTTCTGGCGCCCAAAACAACACGTCGAAATTAAGGGTATGGATCCAGGGAAGTGTGCATGGCAACGAACCCGCAGGGGATGAAGCGACTCTCGCGCTGCTGGGAGCCATGGACCAGGATCCAACGTGGGCTGCCGGATTCCTCGAGAAGATGGATATCGTCGTACTTCCACGGTACAACCCCGACGGAAACGCCTACTTCCAACGCACGCTGGCGACAAACTATGACCCGAATCGCGACCACACCAAGCTTGCGCGTCAACAAACACGCGACATCAAGAAGGGGTTTAGTAAATTCGCGCCACACATTGCCATCGACATGCACGAGTACACTGCAGGAACCCGCTACGCAGGCAACTACAGCAACGCAGCAGACGGCATGTTCAGCGCCGCAAAAGTAAGCACACAGTCAAGTAAACCCCATCCCCATCTCTAACCCCTCCCCCCAAGAACCTAAACATCCACGCCTCCATCCGCAACCTCTCCGAATCCCTCTTCGCCCCCGCAATCAACGCATCCCTCACCTCCAAATCCCTCCGCGGCGAACCCTACATAACAGCCGCGCACACAAACCCCCCCCGCCTAGAAGAAGCCGGCACCGACGCGAAAATCGGACGCAACGCCATGGGCCTAACACAGTGCATAACCTTCCTCTTCGAAACGCGCGGCATCGGAATCGCATCGCAGTCCTTCGCGCGCCGCACACAAGCCGGTCTACAAATGATGCTCGGGGTGTTGGAAACCGCGCGCGACGACGCAGAGACGGTGTACACGACTATCGAAAACGCTATTGCTGATGTCGTAGCTAGTAGGGAGGATATCATAGTAACGGATTACACGACGTGGGCGAATCGCACGTATACTATGGTCGACCGCCGCTCGGGCGTGGTCGTGCAAATCCCCGTCGAATTCGCGAGCACGACGCCTGCGTTTGCGAATCTGACCCGCTCGCGTCCCGCAGGCTACATCATCCCGCGCGCGTGGGCGGATCTGGCTGAGCGCCTCAAAGTATCTGGGCTGGAGGTCGAGACGATGCGCGATGTGTTCACCGGCCAAGTTGAAGCGTATAATATTACTTCCTCGAGTCTTGGTACAGCGTACTACGAAGGCGCGATTCTCAACACCGTGACGACGCAGATGCTGGTGCGGGATGTGATGCTCCCCGCGGGCAGCTTTTTTGTGAGTACGAGGCAGAAGAACGCGGGGCTGGCGTTTGTGGCGCTCGAGCCGGAGAATATCGATTCGTATGTGAGTTTTTCGATTGTGGCTGTTGAGGTTGGGGATGTGTATCCCGTGTTTCGCGTGATTTAGGCGTGGAGGATTGTTGTGTTGTGGGGTACGGCGGGTTTCGCGGAGAGTTGAAGTGTTGAGACGTTGCTGGATGCAAGGCAAAGATAATGAAGATGTAATTTGGTTGACGTACACGCTATGGGAGCTGGAGCTGTTTGATAATCGTAGATTTATAGACACTAGCGTGTTGGTGGTGGAGTACGGTAGAGGATCTTGTAATGCAGATTTTCCGGTCCTGTGATGCAGAACGAACATGAGATTATGTCGATTGTGTCTGGAGTAATATCATTGGAATGGGCACGCGAAACGCAACCCGTCCGCCAACTCCAACATACCTATCAACATAACCCTTCATCCCATCACACCAGCCCAACCCTCCAACTACAACCCCCTCGGCCTCTCCCACGCCTGCCCCCCATCCATCTCAATCCCCACGCCCATCGCCCCCCTCTCCCCCAACTTCTCACTAACAAACCCATCAATCTCCGGCGGCGGACTCCTCACCTCCTTCCCAACCACGCCCACGGGCCCATCCCCCCAAACCAAATACTGCGCCGCAAGCCCCAAATCACAGCACGCCTGGAAGATACCACACGCCTTGAACGCCCACGGCACCTCGCCGCTACTGCTCGCGAAGAAGAACCACATCTTGAACGAGTCGCCGACGACCCAGTTCGCGATCACGCTGGGACGGAAGCCCTTGCATCCCCTGCGCTGCCAGTTGGCGAGCAGCTGTGGAAGGGGCAGTGTGGCTTCGATGGCCAGGGCCACCATGCCGAGGAGGTTTGTGTATGGGATGAACATGCGGGTTGGCGAGAGCAGCATGTGTGCGAGTAGTAGGGCGATGCTGAAGTAGGTTATGAAGGACCAGTAGGGGCGCGGGTTGCGCCATTGCCAGAAGTCGTAGGGCCGGATGGAGGCGCTGTGCTGGAAGGGGAGGTGTGTCGGGGCCGGGCGGTGCGAGAGCGCGACGTGTAGGAGGAGGATGTGCACGGCTATTGTGAGGAGGGCTTGGATGAGCAGCGAGGTGCTGAAGTGCGCGCCGAACCAGTAGAAGACCCTGTTGTGGTGTGGATTAGACGGTGCTAAGTGAGGGGTGGGTGGAATGGGATGCGAGAGGCGTACTTGAGGATGCTGGCGACTAGCATGATGAGCGGAATGTCGAGCGAGAAGCCGGCTGAGCTGCGCGTCCGGTGGATGGCGTAGATCTGGTCCGCATAGCTGGTAACTGGGCTCGTTGCGATGCTGGTGTTGTGTTAGTGAAGCCCCATTATAGAACAGAGAGGGGGGGGTGTAAAACGCACAAGACAGGCGCAATGTTCTTAATAATCGCGTTCAGGAAGCCCATGTCGACCCAGACGACGCAGATGTCGATAGCGCTGCAATGGACGATGGGATGGGGAAAGGAGACGTCGATTCATCCGACGATCATCCCCGAGCTTCTGCATTAGCGCCCGCATAGGGCTGATAACACGAAGTACGGTAAACCTTATCTTATCGCTACCATCCAATCCATCTTGACCCACCACCACCCACCACCATCTACCTTTCCTCCCAACCCATGGACCTCTCCTCCCTCTACACACACCAGCACCAAACCCCCAATTCTATGCCCTACAAAAAAATAACCCCCAAACACCCACCACCAATGTCCCACACAGCATTCTTCTACGGCACCCTAATGGCCCCTCCCGTCCTCCACCGCGTAATATGGGGCTCCCCCACCCCGCCAACACCCGTCCACGCCTCCCTCCTCTCATCCCGCCCCGCAATCCTGCAAGCGCACCAGCGCAGAAAAGTCGCCCGCGCAGACTACCCGGCCGTCCTCCCCAGCCCGTCGTCCTGCGTGCGCGGCACCCTAGTCTCAGGGCTAACGGACGGGGATATCTGGCGTCTGGATGTGTTCGAGGGGAGTGAGTATGCAAGGCGGGGCGTGAAGGTGCGTGTACTAAACGCAGATGGTGGGGAAGAGGGGGAAGAAGTCGATGCGGAGTGCTATATCTGGATTGCTGGGGCGCGCAGGCTGGATCCTGAAGAGTGGGATTTCGACGAGTTTGTGCGGGAGAAGATGGGGCGGTGGGTTGGGGATGAGGGGGCGCAGGCGGATGAGGGGTTTCGAGGTACGGATTGCGATTCTTTGTGGGGCTTGTGTTGGCTGAGTGTGGTGAGGGAGATGTGGCTGATTTGCGGGCAGATGTTGATGATGCGGTGGCGGCTGCGGGGGGGGATCCGACGGGTGGGCGGGGCGCGGGTGGGGATATTACTAGGGCGTTAGAAAGAGAGGGGAGGACGGAGGAGAGGGTTTTGCAGAGTGCGGTGTAGGAGGTGCATGTCACCGCTTTCCAGTTCAGGTGAAGGGAATCAAAGTGTGCCTGATCATCGGCCAACGCATCGTTTAAACAACCACGTCTGGCCAGCTATATCACACAAAGCACGTTTTCATCGCATCTCGGTCCTAAACCAAAGTCGATACGTTCGGATCCGACACCAACACGAAGTCATCTTACCCACCTCCCGCATACTCCCCACCAACAACCCCCCTCAACACCCCCCTCATCCCCCTCAAAACCCTCCTCCCCTCCTCCCCCCCCAAATAAACACCCCACATCCACGCCCTCGCTCCCTCTCCCTCCACCCCCACCACCTCCCCCACAAGCGCATAATCAGAAGCCACCACCCACCCATAATCCGCATCAAGCTCGCGGTACTCTTTCTCCAACATGCTGATGCTTTCTAGCATGTGTTTTGCGAGGTTGCGCTGCGGGGTGGAAATTGGTGTGGTGGGGTGGAGGGATGCTTGGAGGGCTGTTATAGTGGTTGTTAGGTGGGTGCACAGGGCGGAGAGGTGGAGGTGGGTTGTTAGGAAGAGGTGGAAATCTGTAGGGGGTTCTGTGGGGGTAGATGGGGGAGGGGAAGGCATTTTGTGGTATGTATTTGTAGTGTGGAAATGTAGGCATGGATTGGGTTGGTTTTTGGGAGTGGGAGGAGTTATGGTGCTCTGTCTGTTGAGTAAGTTGGGGAGTAGGTTAGTGGCTGAGATGTTGTGTTCGCTAGTATTCTAGAGTGTCTTTGTGAATTGATCTTTTGGGGATGTAAACGTGTGACAATTTCTGGATGTGACGGTGTGAGTGAAGCAGAGAGCGGATATTTTCCCAGCTCATCACAACCGCAACCCTCGCCACTGACCTCTCGATCCATGGATTTCGCTCCGACACCAGCTATCAATGGAAGTTTCCATATTTAAAAAGTTTCGCGAAACCTTTTCACCCTTCACACTTATCCACATTTTTTAACAAAACCACAACCTGACCCCAAACGTCCTTTGACAACAAAATTTGAACTAAATTACTCAACATTTCACACGAACAACAAACACAAAACCTCGAACTCCCAAACTATCCAACCACCAAACACGATGACCTCCCCCCACGCAACCCCCCGTACCTCCCTCCTCGCCACAACCTTCTCCCAACTCCTCCCCACACAACACTCCAAAATCACCACCCGCTGGCGCAAAATCGCCCTTCTCCACGCCCAGACAAAACTCGATCATCGCGCAGAAACTATCAACGCGCTGAACGCAGAGCTCGACATGCTGGAGGGGGATATACGGGAGTATAGGGAGGTTGTGAGGGGGATTGATGTCAGGGATGTGGCGGGATTGTATGTTGTTGCGGGGATGGGGAGGGAGAGTGCGGCGAGGGTTGCGGGGGAGGATTTGGAGGGTTTCGAGGGGGGGTTAAAAGAGTTGGAGGAGGGGATTGCGTCGATAAGGGGAGAGGTTGGGGGGGAGTAGAGATGGGAGGAGGACTTTGTTTAGTAGTGGTGTTATACGGGATCTTTGCTTCCTACCTAAACCTGTAAATTTATTCGCTCTCTGAACTATCAACTCTTGATGTTCAGTGATGTTGAGTGCATTGAATCTTACGCTGTAACTTTTACTAACCTATGTGATACGGCTCCATGCGTCAATACTGTGTTATTGATGAAAGGAGTGTACTGGTGTGCTTATCTCGTCGATGTGACAAAGAAGTCATTCACTGTGGATATGAATTGACCTCCTCTTCCACTAACAAGTCTTTTGAATTGGAGCAGATTTTTTAAGTCTTAGGTAAGGTGTCCAGCTTGACTTCAGCATCTGACCATGAACACTGATAGCGCAAGTTACTCGTCAGACCAGGGCAATAACATGAGAAACTTATTCGTGAACCTATATAGCCATGCGGAGTGCGTGCTAGCAACCGTTCACGCACTACGGTCCCTGGATGAGAGGTTTTCAACAACGGCCCATGGCGAAGACAAACACGACTATGCTGAGGCGATACAGTTTCAGGTCGGGGTGCTCGAAGAATGTCTGTGCAGTATGAGCACCGATGTTGAGGGAGTGACGGACGAACAAGTGCGAGATTGGATAGATGGCGTTGAGAGTGATGATGGACGACGGGAAAGGGAGGAATTAGTGGAGACGTTGATGGAGAAATTGGGGGTTGTGGAGGAAGAGATAACTAGGATCGAATATGCTCTTGTAAGACGGTACGATTAAGAGAAAGATCGAGATCGGATGTTTGTACTACGAGATCTGGTACGCCTTCACTCCGTCATTCAAGCTGCGAATTGCTGAAAGTGGAGCCTTTTGCAATTTCCAGACTGTGATCTTCAACTTGAATACCTTGCAGCCACCTTATCCAGTCCTTTTCTAGGTGAAGCCGCAACTCCACTCGACCGATTCGGGTGACGGTGTGGTAGCTGGAATATTACTCGCCTCTCTAAACTCGACAATCTTCCGGTGACCCTCCTCTTCCTTTATCACACCGAACGCCGCATTAGTGAAGTATAGATCCCGCTGTAAAAGCTTGTGGAAGCCACCAGCCCAACCAATCATGTAAACAAAGCCACCTCTGTCGCCATTCGCGTTGGGCACAGCCATGGTGTTGATAAAGCCGTGCCTGAAGGGTGCAAAACTCCTGGCAAGCGAGGCATTGGCATTGTGGTAGAATCGCAGTGAGCCCTCGAAGTCATAGCGTGTGTCGTTGAACGTGAAGAGGACATCCTTGGAGAAGGTCTGGGCATGCACCTTTGGCCAGTCGCCGTTGTCTGGAAATGGGTAGAAACCTTGCAGTACGATTGATTAGCGTCCAGGTTCGCAGGTCCAGTCATGGTGACGCATACCATTGAGCTGACATTCCAGCCAGCTGGAAAGTTGTATGCTGGCGTTGACGTTGGGAGAGTCGGCCAACGTGCAGGGATCAATTGTGGTGTTGTCGGACATGCCACGGGCATCTATTTCGACCATGTCTGGCAACGGATCTCCGAATGCGGTGGCTATAGTTGCGAAACCATACGCTGTGAACAACCCAATCAGTTGCAATCGTATGATATGTTCATACTATCCTACCGAGAAGTGCAAAGGCGCGCACTATGGATGCCATCGTGGTGAGTATTAAAATACGTCGTAATTGTTTCAACAATAATCGCAATTCTAGTTTGAAGATTTTAAAGAGTCTTAAGATCAGGTAATCGAGAAAAATTCAGGCGGTTGTCGAAAGGTGGAACTCGCTGACTTTAGTACATTTTTTAGTTGTCCGCAAACAGTCGAATACATTAGGAATACAGGCACTTGTATCTGCACTGACGTGGTCTGACAATTGAAACCTGAATTTCAAAACACTCGTTGTTGATAATTGGTCCATTGAGTACAAAAGCAGTAAATGGCAGGGGTATAGATCTACAAGTAAGCTCATGCGGCTTACGCTGGAGTCATTCGGCACCCCTGATGTTTGTAGCTACGAGTCTGACATGCTCACTGTTCGGAGATTTGGTTGATGTAAAATATAGCTGTAAGGCTGGTCGCACAGACAATTCATGTACATGATAAAAGCTGCCCAGAACAGACTACGAGAGAGGAAAAATATGGGCGTGGAGGCTTCATGGGTTGCAGACAAGGTTCACACTGGAGAGTGCCACTGTTTCATCAGCCTTCCACATGACAACTGAGATGTTATTGGAAGAAACCAAGGACATTTTGAAGTTTCAATTACGAAAATTGGCACATGCTTATACCAGATCTTGCTTCGATACCCTGGCCGATGGACATTTAACTATCTATCGTGTCAAATTGTAAGAATTCACGACCAGTGCGCGTGCAAGACCTTACATCTTACTAATATATCCAGTTGCAATCTGTGTCTGTCTAGACGACTCAGTCCGCTGGCTGGAAATCTTCAATTCTCGTGGGCGGAATTCTGATCCTACAATCAAGTATGAGTATACATCTCATCACGTACAGACTCCTGCACAACTTCTCAAGTCTCAGGCTTGATCTCTTGACTCTCGTCGAAGGTGATAGCATATGTTCCAAACTACTGCCCTTCTTTTTGCTCTTCGCAAGAGTCACATGATATCTCGTTCAACAAAACACGAATCAGCTAATCCGTAGAGCTGTAGATACATTTCTCTGCGCTCCCTACACGTATATATACCTGCTCTTCTTACAGTTACAAGAAAGCAGTGATTCAGAACAATGAACCAACTATATCTAGCTCTATTATCCTCCACAGTAAGTAATATCAGTGGTACGTTGAAGATATTGCGATCAAGGGAGTGGCTTACTTCGACAGAGGAGAGACCATGAGGTTGTTGACTTGCAAAGTGAACGCCGACTGGGTCTCGCCTGATGTTACTGGATTTAGGTAGAGTGCGACGCGCACAATGATCCTAGTGTACTCATGTAAGCTAGACTGGCAAGAAGAAGTAACACATTACATGGGCAATTGCATTATGCACGAGGCAGTTCAGCAAGAGTTGAAGTTGAGTGAAGAACTTATGTACAATGAGCTCATACTAGCTTCCCCTTTCACAAAGATATTAAACCCCAGCACCAACAGTAAGGTGTGAGTTCATAGCTGGGGTAGATAATCCTCCGAAGGAAATACACCCCACTACCTGACGTAGTATCATCGATCCGAGTCATGGAATGGATTGGTAGTTGCCTGTATCCGTTCTCTCGCCAGGCCTTCGGCTCGAGCTTTCAAAAAACGTGGAGGGAGAAAGGAGGGAGCCTTCTCCCGTCTTGGGGTAACACTTGGTCATTTTCGGAGTTTGGATATGTATGGGGGCTGCGAGGCAGGGAACTCAGGACTCGTTCGGATACTACAAGAACAACAAACTGGTAGGCGTATACCATTGGTCTTCAAAACGTCCAAAACTCACAATTATTTTACATGTAGTCGTCAAGCTGTTGCAAAATCTCAGTGCATTCAATATAGACACGTTACTGTAGGAATCTCACGGAACGCCTTTCAGCAAGCGGTCTAGGAAACTCACCCCATTCGCTATAAGTCTTACTTGCGATACCGTCAACTTTATTCCATCAGATTCTGACACAACCAGGTCTGTATTCTGACGGGTACGCTGTCCGGAGTTCTTCTTTCGTTTCCCGGGTTGACATAGTATGCCAGCTCCAGTCGAACGGCGACAGACAGTCACCCAGTTGGCGATAGAAAAACACCTTAACGACATATCTCTTCCTTTCATTTTGCCAGGATATGTTGATGATATAGTCTGTTAGACAGAAGGTGCAAAATCCGAATGCCTGATCGCAAGGTAGGAATAGGCTCGGTGTAGTCTCATCCTTAGTTAACTCGAGAAGCTGTACGGGAAAGCAACCAGGTCGCCTTTCTGCTAAGGTAAGATGTGCACAAACTGAAGGTCCGATGTAGTTGATGTGGCTTCTAAGCAATGCTGAGTCACCTCGTGAATGGAACGTGGAATTGATTGATAACATCAGAAGCTGGTCGTCGATGATGCGTACATGCTGGGACTCCGATTCTACAACTCCGTTTGGATAATGATACGAGTGGGCCCGCATCTCGAGTTTGTGAGGAGGCGGGCCATGTGTGGATCCGTAGAGATGTAGGTTCATAACCAAGCGCGCATAGTAGGATTGCTGTGGTAGTTTGTGTACAGGCGGTTATTCTAGCTTTACTTGCACGGCATACGCTCTAGGTACCATGGAGTTATGGATCTGCTCCAACGTCTGCGCCAGCGGTGTAGCTTCACGCAGCGATGGCAGGAATAGAGAGTGAGCACGTCTTTCTCCAGCAACAGCAACAGCTCTTCCTTCTCTGCCATGTTCAGGATCAGATGTGCGGGCAAGCAAACTCTGTGGAGAGCTCGACAGGTCAAGGCGAGGGATGTGATAGAGGAATTGTTAAGGTGTGAAGTGATCATCGAGATGATCTCTGTTGGAAAAGCGAACGCACTCAAGCCTGAAGAAGTATACAGCGGTCAAACGAGTGTTTTCAGGCGTTGGGAAACCCACTGGATGGCACCAGCGACCACCATGGCTGAATTTATAAGGTAGGGGGGTCGAGAGTACAAGGAAGCACGCAGGAGCTACATCGATACGGTCATCGCGATGGATAGGACGGTAGCACAGGACGTACGAACAAAAATGAAGTAGCATTTGTATAAAGGATATCGCACTGTTCGGTCAGGGTGGAGTAGAAGTCTGTGGCTTTGGCAACAACTGTTTGGTCGGGAACGCTGATGCAGGGTCATGTTACTTTCCGGGTTGACTGGGTTCAGTGGATGACTCTGCTGTGCGAGCAGCAGCCAGGAAACTTTATATCAATGTGTATAGTTTCTCATAGTTGTGTCAATTATAACACAAAACCGCGTCTGGAGGACCTCCGTTAGGTAGTATCATTGCTAGATTGTGTTTAGAATATGATAATTCACAAAGGCATACCTTCCACATACGACCATAGGACGTTGAAAACAAGGCTTCCCGTTCGCTCAGCCCTATTTAAGCAACGTACCGGCGGACTAGTAGTTAGGTGGGTGACCACTAGCGAATCCCCGCTGTTGTATGTAATCATTTTCGTCTTTTTGTTGGCTCTGCCTTGCCCGTTGCAGAACCATTGACCTCGGGAGTTGCCGAGCGCTTCTCCAAGAAGAAAGAGCCTTGCGAGGATGACTAACTATCAATGGAGTAGCTGTGGACGCCACCTTTTTGCCAACAGGCGCACGGTCGCCACCTTTTGTACCGTCTCTAACGTGTGTCATTCGCCAGGGCACCTGCACGTTGGCGGACAAGGGTATCTGCAACAAACGTCCTTGTAGATCTCAAGGCTTGACCGTAGCTGGCTAGGCAGATCATGGCTACATCCGCAGTTGGTTGGATGCGCATCTGTTAATCGTGCGTCGTTTCAGGACGGATTTGGGTACTTGGTTTGATCTGACATATTTCTTGTGTATATACATCGTTGTTCAAAACCCTGTTCACATCGTGACCTCGTCCAGAAAGCAGCCAGAATATCTTGAAGTGACCCATTCTATTATCTCTCTGTCATGGCAAGCGAGTAATTACTACTCCCATATCCAGGACATTTTCAACACCGTCGCGCGTTTTTGGGACAATGTATGGCCAGTGCACCCTTCGTGGTTTAGCGTAAGTGAGCCCTAAGATGGCTGCGCACCGAGGCCCACGGCCAGGAAGTGGTACCAGTAAACTCATTTGTATGCGGAATTGATCTGCGCTGGCGAGGCATCCCTGCTGCGATAGTCTTCGATTGTTAAATGCTCTGCCTTCCCATAATCCAACTCCAGTCTCAAAAATTACGGAGGCTTCCTCGCTTGCTAATTGCATGCTCATATTCGTCTTATTTTCCTTTGAATTTCAACAAGGTTTCAAACATACCTGTGCTACGCTTCCATCAAAAACTTGCAATGCCACCTACGCACGATGGCTCCTTCAGCAGCAAAACATGGGACTCGAGCACTACCCTTGAGTTCATAACGCTCATGCTTGCTATACCAGGTACTCTCGTTGCACTGGTAACATTATGGATAGTGTTGTCTCAAAACTTTCGAGGTGAGTCGTGTGTCATTTTCATGTCGAGTTCTGGACACGCGCGATCCGGGTAGTTGCGCGGTAGCTTCCCACTAGCGTCAACTCCGGAGCCACCTGCTCACATCCTATCAACAGAACGCGTCCATTACCTTGCACTCACAACCTTCCCATACCAACAGCCACTCATTCGCAGAAGGGGCACAGACCGCAGCGATACTGAATTCTACGATGGATTCCAGGAACGCTATCGTGAGCTGCACGGCGAGGTGTCGTCAGAACGAGAACAATGGGCGGAAGAGATGACGGACCTTTCTAGCAGACGTTAACTTAACTGGCGCGTTGTCATTCACAAAAGCCTTTCACGCATCGCATTCTGGATACCTTCTACCTCACTGCTATATTAAGGCGATGCGCACCGGCTAGACCTGAGAGATTCTCTGTTCACGACATCTTCGATGGAGACGTTTTCTGGAGGCTACAGCCATGATTCCTGTTGATGACATTTTGATCCAGGGCCACGGCATCAAGTGCGACGAATCTTCTGCTACCGGCGAATCTAATCTACCTAAGAAGATGCCAGGAGCAGACGACGCTGTCTACCTCCATCGCAGGTTTCTCTTTGCCGCGCACATACTCGCCCTCGGGACCATCTCATCAACTACTCAGTCCTGCTACGCCGTCACGCATGTCTCTTTCACAATCTTTTGATTTCATTTGTATCGTCTTGTCTCATCTTATAGCGAGCGAGGAGTTCATCGGCGCAAACTGTTCGCGAGTTCATACCATACGCATACATATCAAATCGTATAGAGCGATCCAGACCCTATGTCTCGTCGAGAAAATACTACTGTGGTACCCCCCCGAAGTATAAGCCATTCGCCTCATGTGGATACTTTTCAAAACGCCCACGGATTGGTCAAGATGTCTGTGAAGTAGCAATTCTGACGAATGAGAGACTAGCACCTAAAGTGGGTAATGGCTTATACTTCGGGGGGGTACCACAGTACAGTTACACACACAAATCACAGATCGCACATCATCTCAGGCTCATACAATAGTAGGAAGTAACTGATGTAGTAACATAGCACAGGTGTTGTAACCCACTACCAACTACACCAGCCACGCTATTCACTCCTTTGACTCCCTCGACTTCTTCAACTCTTCCAATCCCTTCCACACCTCGACACCCTCCTCTCACAACCTCCTACCAAGCACTCGCAGCACCGAACCCCTACCTCCCTCTCAACTAGTACCCCACGGTCTACACACACCACGACAACCGTCTATAACCCCAGCACAACACCCTCATCACTTCCCGCCGCCGCCGCCACCACCACCACCATATTCTCTAGATTGACAACCAGCTGATCAATCACTACGTAGCTCTGTATTCTCCACGCCGTGTTCTGTTTGGGAAGAACACGTCGTACGTTTGGGTAAAGAGAGAGCGATTGATAAACCACGTCTAGGAAATAGGTGTATAGAATGGGTAGGGTGTATGGGGATCTTTAGATGCTGGTCATATGTACACGATTGGTAGGGTTGGTATGATATGGAATGCGAAGAACAATTGGTGAGAGTCGAGGAAGACAGGTGCGGTACAACGCGATGAGACGAGATGAGAAGAGTCAGGAAACGCGCATTGGCACAGCACGAGAAAAGACAAACACCCAATAAGCTCATTACGCGATACCAAACAGCCGCCGCCGACTCTCAATCATTTCTATACAATTTACCCTCGCATCCCTTAGCCCATTACACCAAATCAAACCTAACACATACCCGTCAACACCGCCATGCCAGCGACATGATCCACGCCCGCGACCTCCTCATCCTCGAGCAACTTATCAATCTTCTCCTTCTTCTTGATGCGCCAGAAAGTCTGCGCGCCCTCAACAAACCGCTTACTAATGCTCTCTACATCCTCAGTCGGACACGCCGCAAAGCACAGCCTAAAGCAGTTGAAGCTGTCCTTCTCCCTGATCTCCTTCGTAGCAGCGAACATCGCGCCGGGCGCAACGAGGCACAGATACGGTTTCTGCGTCCAAAACACCCACAGGGCCTGCGAGAGGCGGGGGGCAGGGACCTGTTTGGCGAGGGGGTGCGAGGTGAAGTCGAAGCGGACCCAGACGAACATGCCGCCGAGGGGGCGGACGAAAGAGTAGATTGGCTGTTTTTCGACGACGGCCCATTCATCTTCTCCGTCGAGGACGACGAGCGATTTCCTGCGTCCGGCTTTTACGAGGGATGTTCCGGCGTCGAGGGCGTTGCACATGGTCTGCATTCTGCGCTCGTAGTTGCCGCGCAGACCCTCGAGCCAGCGCACCCAGCCGTCGACTTTCCAGCCGCTGCCGTCTGAGGCGCCGCCGCGTCCGGGGTCGGCTCTGGACTGCGGACCCATGAGTAGTTCTGCAATCATGGTCTGCACGAAGCCGGATGGCTGCTGTGTGCTTGTTTCTGTGATGCGGAGGATGCGTTCCACGAGCGCGGGCTGCGCGGTGATCCAGCCGAGACGACATCCAGGGGCGACAGTTTTGGAGAAGGTGTCGAGACGGACGACGCGGCCTTGGTAGTCGATGCTCAAATAACTCGGAATCAAACTATCGAGGAATTCGAAGCCAGAGGTTTTGTTGACGCGGGGGGCAACGCTACTGGGCGATGACGATGGATATTGCAGGTACCAGTATGGGTCGTCTTCGATGATCACGACGTCGTATTCCACACAGAGGGCGTAGATTTCTATGCGACGCGCGACGGATAGCGTGCCGGATGTGGGGTTTTGGCCGATGGTTACAGTGTACATGAGATGTGGACGACGACCTAGTGAAAAGTCCCAGTTCTCCAACACGTCCTGGAGACCGCCTGGCCCCTTGGCTAGCATACCCTCGTCATCGATGGCAACGGCGGCGATGTTGAAGCCGCGTGGTGTGGCGGTCTGTATGGCGTTCATGTAGGCATACTGCTCACACAGCAGGCCTGGTCTCTCACTGACAGGGTCATGCTCGGCTGACCATTCATTGCTGAGCGCCTGGAGGGTCTTGGAGAAGCCATCCGTTGAGCCAACCGTCAAGATGATTTCTGGTCCCTCCTTGTATGGGACGAAAGGATGGAGGTTCTCCCTTGTGAATTGACGAATGAAGTAGTAAAGCGATGTGTAACCTTGTGCCGTTCCGTACTGTAGCCCAGACTTGAGGTCGATCATGTGAAGGGGATCTGGGGTCTTGGAGTCGTGCGGGACCACGAGACGCGACGAGGGTGGGTCATGGTGCTTGTGTTTGGAGATGGTGGTCTTCGCGAGCTGGGAAGTCGGAGGATCATCGGCAGGCGGATCGACGGGCTTGTTGGGTGTGGGCTTCCACCGTTCTGGATTCGCAACCTTTGCTTCGAGGGTGTCGTATGGAAAGTAGTGGTCGTTGGGCAGGCCTGGCACATGTCAGCGTTGAGTCTGACAGTCGCAGATGGATTATTTTGCTACAACCTACCTCCAGCTAATTGCGCAATGCCTGGGATCTGGAAATACTTGTAGAACTTCTTGACACTCGACGCTTCGCGTGCCTTTGCACTACGTGACAGATAGTGGGTGAGATCTACTGGGTCAGGGAAGCTGCCTGGGTCTGTCGTGTAAGACGCCATCGTCTAGTCAAACGTCACGCGATAGACCAACGTCCAACTCAATTACTGGCTACAAATAGGTAATTGCACAGAATCAACACAGTGCAGGAATTGCGAGTGGAGGAATTGTGAAGCAGAGGTCAAGTCCGCGGGAGTGGTATCGATACAGTGCTGATTAGCAATCCTCGGTCTGACATCACGAACAACGATCTGACAGCATACATTTTCACTAGACCACAACGAGCCACAACTCGTACCCCAGCTTCTGCAGGTACAATCTCTCTCCACCACCTCGTAATTGTTTAGAATCACCACAAACCCGAGCCTGCTTGTCCCAGCACGCACCCGGCGAGATGTACCGGCGGATCTCTTAGCGCGTCGATCGGCATCGTGGTGACGACCTGGTTGGTCCCGCAGCGCCATGATGCAGGTCCCGGAGCTTACCAAAAACTTACCAGAGCTCTTTCATCAACTGCATTTCTAGCTTCTGGTCTGTCTCCATCTCTTCCGACTTGGGACGACGTTGTTCATCTCTAGTTCTCATTCTTTATTACGATCTTATCAACACGCGCCGTGACATCATTCATAGGCCAGCCGTCAGCCTACCTTTACCAACATTGCACCACGAAGTCGCCTCCCTTCCAGACATGACTCCTGGAAACGAGAGCCACCTTCAGCGTGCTCCTCCGCAAAGATATCACGACGATGACGACAATAGCATCTACGACGGCCACGACGGTGTGCTGATCGCCCGTTCCGAAGCTTCCGACCAGGAGCAGTACCCAACATACTATGCCAGCAAATACATACCGTCGCGGCTGCAGCGCACATGGGACAACGTCGTCGTGTGGGTGAAAGGACCACAGCCACCGCGACAATGGAAGATTCGCCCGTTTTTGCCCAGGATACAATCTGCGCCCATACGCTTCTTGGATACCTATTTCCCCAAGAAGAAGCACAAAGTGCTGCTGCTGATCTTCTTTTACGGCTGCTGGCTGCTGAGTTTTGGGTTGGTGTTACACCGCAGTGCCTTCTCTGCGGATATACCGGGATATGGAAGCCCTGTGCGCATAACATGCGAGGACCGCTTCTGGAGCCCTGGAAATGGCTGCGGCCTTAATGGGGACCTTTGCCGCCCATTTCAAAACAGCACCATGCCCTTTCGCTGCCCGGCTAATTGCAAACGCGTTCAGCTCCTCAATCCCCATGCGGTGGGTGATCAGGTTGTGAACTACCGGCCGCTAGTCGTGGGAGGCCCAACAGACGAGGATGAAACACTCGAGAACACATACTACCGTGCCGATTCCTTCATCTGCGGTGCAGCCATCCATGCTGGCTTCATCAACGACGCGTCAGGCGGCTGTGGCGTGGTCTCTCAAGTCGGCGAGAAACCATACTATCCTAGCGTCAACAGAAGGCACATCACGAGTATCGGCTTCGATTCGTATTTCCCTAAGTCGTTCGCCTTCCTGCCCGGCACAGCTTCCAAATGCCGCGACCTACGATGGCCTTTGCTTGGCGTCTCTCTAACCTTCACTATTCTACTCTCCCTATTCACTACCTCGCCAGCGGTCTTCTTCCCTTCAGCATTCTTGGGCATATTCTTCCACGTCGGCCTCGCCTCCGACCCGCCGAACCTCACGGACTACTACTCCATCATTAGCATCGCACTGGGCCGCCTCCTCCCAGCCAGCTTCTGCATGTACGTCGTGTACAAGTTCGCGGTGTACCCCCAACACAAAGGCCTCGAAGCACAGATTGAAAAGACAATCCTCTGGCTAGGCGGGTGTTGGATCGGCGCACTAAACAACTACACCTTCGACAAGATCCCGATCGAGCGCCTCACACCTCACGACATCAAGACACAGCCCGGCGCCATCCCCGCCCTCATCATCGTCGTGCTAACCCTCTTCTTCATCGCGCTGGGCCAATCATGGGCGCTCCGCATCGAGGGCCGCCTCCCCCGCTACCTAGCCGTCTACGGCATCTTCGTCACCTGCCTCCTCGCCCTCGTCGCCATCCCCAAAATGAACGTTCGCATTCACCACTACATCCTCGGTCTGCTCCTCGTCCCTGGTACCGCCATGCAGAACCGCCCCAGCCTGCTCTTCCAGGGCATCCTCATCGGCCTGTTCATCAACGGCATCGCCCGCTGGGGTTTCAGCTCCATCCTGCAAACGCCTGGCGAGCTTCGTGGCGACGCCCCGGAGGGCTCCCTGTTGCCGAGTATTCTCGCCCCGATCATCCACAACGCCAGCAGCATTACGTTTGAGTGGGCCAAGCCGTTTCCTAGCGTGTACGACGGCCTGAGTATCCTGGTCAATGATGTCGAGCGCTTTCATGCGTTTGAGGATCGCATGCAGGCGAGCTGGTCGTGGAAGAGACATCTGGAGGGCGTGGATGAGTATTTTCGCTTTGCGTATTTGAGGGGTGCTGAGAGGGGGGATTATACGAAGGCAGGAGTTTGGACGGGGGAGGGCGGGTGGAGGGAGATGGAGGGGGGGCCTTCGTGAGGGGGTTACGCCTTCACTGCCTTTAGTACTGATGGGTGTGAGGTAGAAGGCGTCTTGCGCTTTGCGTTTCGACTTGGAGTGGTGGGGGGATAGAAGTCTCTAGTGATATAGCTAGACTCTGCTCTAGTTCTTTCTTCTGCGTATTCCCACTCGCTTACTCACTCACTCACCTCGGTATTCTAACATTAAACAAATGTACCGTTTTCATCGCACCCAAAAAGCTGAAATGTTACTTGTGGCTTCCACATGTCTATCTATCTATCAACCAATCAATCAATCATCCAATCACAGGATATGCTCGATGTGGTTCCCAACCCCAGGGGCACTCACTGCTAGTCTACTATCGCCACTCCCAGGTAGTTTTCTAGTACCCAGGCACATGGTAAATGTAACTCTGAGGAGACATGCTAGTCTTCGTCTACAATCTCCAAGACCTGCTTGAATGTGGTGGATGGTATGAGGTTGAGGTGGCATGGTTTCTTGGAAGTTGGAGATGATTACGTTTCCACTAGACTAGGCCTGTGTTGATTCCCCAGGCATATGAGTGAGAGAGAGACAGAGAGAGAGAAGAACATCACAGTTTCCACCCCCGTTTCCTCGCCAGCGCAGTCTCCTGCCGCACCGCCAAATCCGCAATAATCTCCTCGCTCCCCCCGCCAACAACCTATCACTCCAAAATCAGCAAACACACTCCCACACAAAACAAACAAGCTAAAAAAACATACCATCATACGCAGATCCCGACTCATCTGCTCGACCACCGCCCCCGGCCCTCCCCGCTGATACCCCGCGCCCCCAAAAATCTGCTGCGCCTCGCGGTTCGCCATCTCCAAGATGCGCCCACCATGCACCTTGCACAGCGCGATCTGGCCCGCGATGTCCGGATCCTGCCAGCCCAGCCGACTCTGCTGGATATGGTACGCGAGCTGCTCCAGCCACGCCCAATGGGACTCTACATACCGGCCCATAGTAGCGAACTTATGCGCGATGATCTGGTTAGCGACGAGGGGCTTGCCGAAGGTGTAGCGTCTTGTGGCGTAGTCCCACGACTGGGAGAGGCAGGTGCGTGCTTTGCGGTTGCAGCTTACGGCCATGATGAAGCGCTCTTTGTTGAAGTTTGCCATGATGATGCGGAAGCCTGTGTTTTCTGCGCCGAGGCGGTTGGCGACGGGGACGTGCACGTTGTCGAGGGAGACGAGGGAGGCGCCGCCGGCTTTTTGGCCGCTGTTGGGGATGCGCCGGTGTGTGAGGCCTGGTGTGTTCGTGGGGATGACGAGGACGGAGAGGCCTGTTGCGCCGGGCCCGCCGGTGCGTACCGCGGTTGTCATGTGTGTGGCCCAGGGCATGCCGGTGATCCATTTTTTGTAGCCGTTTACGATGTAGAAGGTTCCGTCTGGGGATTTCTCGGCCGTTGTCTCGATGTTGGCGACGTCGGACTTGCGGCGTGTTGGGTCAGCTCTGCTTACGTGGAAGGGCG